GGAGCCTTTGAAATACACCTTGTTCTTTTGGCCATCAATTTTTCATATTTCTTGCTAGATTAGATCCTGTAATCAAACTTTCCAAGAGGTTTTCTTTGACATTCGTAGAACTTGCACCTTCCTACAGTACTTGTAAGGTTACAACTTATAATTTGGCAAATCATATACATATATATATTCTTATAACTGATTCACATTTGTCTAATTGCCCTTAAATATCAATGTTTAAAGAGATAAAATATATGGTTTTCTTCTATTTCCAGTGTCTGCCAGGATGGAGGGCTTCTTTGCGAAACTCCTCTTAATTTGACCATACGTAAGTGGTTTTTATTGCTGTTGTAATACTTGCTTATTTGATTTCCCACACTTGCCCTCATTTCTTTCTTTTCTGATACTCTTCTTGCCTCACCTCTCCTTTTCTTATCTATCTATCTATCTATCTATCTATCTATCTATCTATCTATCATCTATCTACTCTCTCCTCTCACAAAACACCCCAGAGTGGCCTTGAAAGGACAGCAATCCTTCTAACTTCAGCATCCCAACTGCTGGAGTTAAGGACATGTGCCAGAACTCCCCCTTCTTACCCAAGTATCTGTCAATAAAATGGTCAAAAACTAGACCAGGAGCTCTGGATTAACGATTAGATCTTTTTTATCTTGCAGACAACTGCTCCAGGGGTGCTGAGTATGTAGACTGCTAAGATCCCAAGGCACAGAGAAGGACTGATAGGACATGTAGCACCAGGAACATACCTGACTTTCAGGTCAGTAACATTACATCAGAGTGGAGCCTTAAAAACTTTAAAATTTTCAGGGTAAATAGAAGCCACAACGTATAAGAAAAGTATTTCGATCATCGTGTGTATGCGTGATCTCTTTCACTGTCAAATGTGAGCTGCAGATGAGCAGTGACCATAGTTACGCATTTAACTTGGTGCTGATGATGTGACATGCTGACAGAAGTATTGATTCTGCGCGTTTTCTTGTAGGGAGACTTGCCATGCAAACGTGGGTGCTACTGCCCAGTAGGAATGGTCCGCAACTCTAAAGGGATATGCATACCTCCTGATGACTGTCCCTGCTCTTTTGGTGACAGAGAATATGAACAAGGAAGTGTTACTTCTGTTGGCTGCAATGAGTGGTGTGTAATAAAGTCTTCACAATTTATTTGTTTTAGATATTTAGAAATGGATAGTTTGCTGTTATTTTTCATGGGAATGAGAAAGTCGTGTCTAGGTCTGTTTGAAAGAATAATGTCCAGTGTAAGTTAGCACAGGATAATTTTTTTTTGCGTAAAAAGCACCATGAACATTAGATAATATAATCTAGATAGCTTCAATATTTAAGCCAAGAAACATTTTATGTTCTTTTTTTACAAACCACTAAAATATATGAACCATGACAAAAATAATGGTCACTCTTCAATTTTCTGCTTTTAGTACTTGCATAAAGGGGTCTTGGAACTGTACCCAAAATGAATGTCAAAGTACTTGCCACATCTACGGGGAAGGACATGTTAGAACCTTTGATGGAGAAAGTTACAGCTTTGATGGGCTCTGCCAGTACACATTCCTTGAGGTAATTTTGTGTATATTTTATCATCATTTTTTCTGTCCTTCATAATTATTCTTGAGTATGGGGAAATTTATTTTCAAAATATTATTTTATTTATTTATTTACCACTTTTGATATGTTTCTAGAAGGGCGAGTATTTTCCAGTGTGAGGATGGCTCTGGTGGCTCTGTTAACTTCTGGCTTGGCTTCGTTAGATGTATGACTATGGCCACGTTCCTTTAGATTCTGTATTGATAAAATGTGCATGGAAATAGCACCTACTGGAAGCCATGTGGGAGCACTCATTGTAGCCCACACTAAGTGGTTAGTGATGGTAGACCCTGTTATCCTTGCTGTAGCAATAGAAATGGTGACTAGAATTTCTCAAGTGCTCCTTGCCAAGAAAAACTGACACAATTCATTGTTGTTAAGTCATTGTAAACCTAGACAACTTTTATTGCCCTTATAATGCAAATAGAGAAGGGGAGCTTTAAGTGAATTAAGCATCTTAAACTGTTGTAAGGAGATGCTTGTTGGTTCCTAGCTGCTCAGCCCCGAAATAGTCACACAGAAACTATATTATTTAAATCACTGCTTGGCCCATAAGCTCTAGCTTCTTATTGGCTAACTCTTACATATAAATTTAACCCATCTCCATTAATCTGTGTATCGTTATGTGGCAGTGGTTTATCGGGTATGTTCTGGTGTCTGTGTCCTGCGGGGCTACAGGGCTTCTCTCTGACTCTGCTTCCTTTCTCCCAGCATTCAGTTTAGTTTTCTCCACCTACCTTTATTCCCTGCGCAGGCCCCAAAACTCTTTATTAACCAATGGTATTCACAGAATACAGAGGGGAATCCCACATCATTAAACTACTACCTAGAGATTGACATTGTGAATGAACGAAATGTCTGATTTCAGAGCTCATGCTTTTAGAGACAATTAAGGTCCTTGATAAGATAACATTTAAAGATAAAGCTTAGATTCATTATTATTTGTAGATTGTTTATGACTGACTATCAAATTTCATATAAATTACTGAAGCAAAAGAACCACGTTTAGCTATTTATAGAACCCCCAAACAAATCAGTGATTCATATATATGATGCAAATACTTCTACATCTATGGTAAAATCTGAACTTGTGTGGAAGCAATGGAATTAGCTTTGAATCAGGACAGGCTATTTAGAGTGCACTCTACAAGCTGCCTGGCCAGAAATGGAGCCAACCACCTGCACGTTTAGGAATTCTCTACCACACCTTGTGACGTATTGAATTTAAGAAATCATTTTGGATGTTGCAGTTGAAGTCTATGTTCCTGAAACTAATGAACTCTCATAATTTACTTTTAACAGGATTACTGTGGTCAAGAAAACGGCACATTCCGTGTTTTAACTGAGAGTGTCCCATGTTGTGAAAATGGGCTTACCTGCTCCAGAAAAATCATAGTGGCCTTCCAGGTTTGATATAGCCCCGCTTTGCTTGAATCTCCTCTCAGGCTGTGCTCTTTCTAGTTGAGCGGGTTCTTTGTAAAATCTCTTTTCTAATTACAGGATCAAAACATCATCTTACAAGACGGTAAAGTGACAGCAGTTCAAACCACTGAAAATAAGGATTGTGAGCTCAACGGGACCTTGTACTCCATCCACACTGTTGGCCTCTACCTGATTGTGAAACTTCCGAATGGAATCATTCTGATCTGGGACAAATACACCAAAGTTTCTGTTATTCTGGACCCAAGGTGGCAGGTATATACCTCTCTCAAACACTGGGGAATCTGACACTTAGAAGCAGGTTAGGGCTTCAGTCACTGTAATGAGCCTACAACTTCTCTTTAGTCATCTTTAACTATAATCAAGTGACCAAAAATGCAAGTGCTGTCAACTGAGGCGTTCTAGGCTAACTGTATCTGCTTTCTTGGAATTATCACATGGTAATCATTTTAAGGTAATTATATGTTTTGAATTAAGTATATCTCTTGCAGTAGATACTCTGAAAATATGAGTATATACATGCATAATTTAAAATTCACAAATCTATTTTTCATCGTTAAAAACATTTATTATGCCAGGTGTGATGGTACATGCCTTTAGTTCCAACACTCAAGAGGCAGAGGCAGGTGGAGCTCTGTGAGTGTGAGGCCAGCCTGGTCTACATAGTGAGTTTCAGGACTGGACTGGCAGGACTATGGAATAGAAAAAGCTTCTCCCAACAAATTGCTTTTTTTAATGCTTGATGCTAGATCATTTTATAATATAAGATGCCTTAAACTAAATGGGAACATTTTGCTCACAAATTCTAAGTCTGCTAAAAATGAAATTCAGTATGATACAGTATTTATAATTGTGATGTTTATGGCTGTCTATCCTCTATCATCTATCTATCTATCTATCTATCTATCCTCTACCACCTATATCTTTGATACATCTATATTCAACATTGTGCTATGTACAACTGATTCTTTTACTTGTCATACAGGGTTATGTAAGGCCGTTTTCTTGCAAGTAGGTAATGTGTTTGAACACAGCCTCTCTTCTAGTCTACTGCTCTTCCTTTTTTCATCCCTCCTACCTCTTATTAGTCCCCACTGTCCCCTTGCTGCTCCATTTGCTCTTTCACACAGGTACTATAGGTAGCCATCGGTTTTGCTGTTCAAAAGGCCTCTGGCAATCTTAAATCAGCCGTGGAGCTTTGTTTCTGGGCCCTCACTTCTTTTCCATTGATCCACCCATCTGTTCTTCTGCCAGGACCATATTGTTTTCATTGATAAGATTCTGTCATACAACTTGGAATCAGATGTGGTATTCCCTGTCCCGCAGCCCTGTACTTTTTTGATTTTTTTTTTGTCTACCCAGAATGTCCTGTGCTTCCATATAAAAATTATGATAGATTTTTCTGTTTAAGAATGCCATTGACATGTTTATTAGGATTAATTGGATCTGCTGGTTGTTTTTGGTAGACTGGCTATTTTCACAATGTTAATTCTTCCAATCCATAAGCACAGGGAGTCCTTCCATTGTCTGGAGTCTCTCACTGATTTTTTTGAAGTTTCATTGCAGAGGGAAGTCTTTTATGTCCTTGTTTAGGTTTATTTCATCCCTTTTTTCCTTCAAATTTCTTTCTCAGAATGTTTGCTAGTGTGCCAGCTAGTTTTATGTCAAATTGACATAAGCTAGAGCATCAGAGAAGAGGGAAGATCAATTGCGAAAATGTCTGTAAAATCCAGCTATAGGCAAGTCTGTAAGGCATTTTCTTAGTATGAGTTTTTGTCAAAAGTGTGTATTGAGATGATCATGTTTTTGTGTCCATAATTTAATGTGTTGTATTTATTGACTGTCATTCACTCTATCTCTGCATTCCTGGAATAAAGGTGCCTTGATCATATGAATCATGTACTATGATTATGTGATCAAGTGTGGTGATTTTTGCCCCTTACATCAACACAGAACAAAGTGTGTGGCCTTTGTGGAAATAACAACGGAGATCTTAAGGATGACTTCACAACAAGGCATTCCTTGGTAGCTTCCACAGCCCTGGAATTTGGAAACAGTTGGAAAACAAGCCAGGAGTGTTCAGATACAGTAACTCAAAGCTTCCCATGTGACTCGAACCCATACTGCAAGGCCTGGGCCGAGAAGAAGTGTGAGATCATCAGGGATGACACCTTCAGGGAATGCCACAACAAGGTAGCCCTGCTCTGAGCCCCGAGGCTTGCACGGGTCCTTCCCAGACACTCATGTGTTGTGCTCTGTCTAGGTGGACCCGACGGCTTACTACAATGCATGTATTGAAGAAGCCTGTGCATGTGACATGGAAGGGAAGTACCTTGGCTTCTGTACTGCTGTGGCAATGTACGCAGAGGCATGCAACGCAGCCGGAGTCTGTGTCTCGTGGAGAAAGCCAAACCTTTGCCGTAAGTGAAGCCTGGGTAGTCCAGGTTTTCTGAATGTTGTAGTTAGACAAAGCTGTTTTCTTAAGCAATTGGTCTTCCTCTCAGATTTTTTTTTTTTTACTCTCAAACCTAGAGAGGGTTGAAAACATCTTAATGTATTTGTTTATGATGGATAAAATACCCAACAGAAATAGGACAAGGTATAACATTTTGTGTTCAGTTTTAGTTAGAGAAAGATGCTTTTATTCACAGAGGGAATGTATTGAACACTGATGAAAACTGCATCTGCCTAAACCAGATGAGTGACGAGTCTGGGTATTCGTGTGTCCTAGGCATGAGCCTCTTACACCACTCTTGGTTGAAATCCTCACATATGTTGTTTCGTTGACACAAAGCCTTATGGAAAATGAACTTGAATATAAAATGAATCTCTACACACTGAGCCACATAACCATAAAAGAAATAAGCCACCCCTTTCCCCCTGTAAGCAAGGCATTAATGGCTGGAGATGTGTTAAATGAATGAGATTCATTGGCAGGATAAGTATTGCATTTTACTTAGTTTAGTGATATAGCAACCTGCTTAATGACTTTAGTTGAAGACTATTACCCATTAAAGAAACTTACTTTTCTCAGACTCTTTGTGAGACAGCCTATACATTGTAGTTCAGGTTGCCCTGGAACTCATTCTGTAGCCCAGGCTGACCTTGGCCTTGTAGCAATTCTCCTGGTCAAGCTACTCTAGTAACTGTATTATAGGAGTGAGCCACCGTACCCATCAGTTTTGTTCTGATTTTGTTTTTTTTTGTTTTGTCATTGATTTGCATATTTATTTTTTTCAACTTAAGCTTGAACATTAAAATCAGAAGTCTAGATCAGCAGTTCTCAACCTGTGGGTCATGATCCCTTTGGGGGTCAAATAACCCTTTCACAGGGGTCACTGAAGACCATTGGAAAACTCAGATGTTTACATTAAGATTTCTAATAGTAGCAAAATTACATGAAGGAGCATTAAGAATAATTGTAGGCTTGGGGTCACCATGGCATGGGGAACTGTATTCAAGGGTTGCAGCATTAGGAAGGCTGAGAGCCATGGCTCTAGATGAGGATTCAATATCTCCAAGTGATTGTGAAAGGAAGGACCTAACTAAATCTGTAAGATTCCCCTTTGTGTGTGTGTGGTATTCGCCTATATGACAATTTAGATGAAGCCAAAGGAACTTGACAAGGTGAATGGCACGTATTTAGGTCTGCCATTAGTATCATCTAGGATCCCTTTAAAAGTATTTTTGGAGATGGAAAGGTGGGAATCGCCATGCTAGGAAAGAGAGTAATTTGCTGTGCTTCAACCACAGCCGTGTACTGCGACTACTACAACGGCCCCGGGGAGTGCAGCTGGCACTATGAACCCTGTGGCACGGTGACGGCCAAAACATGCAAAGATCAGGTCATCGGGCAGAAGTTTTCTTCACTTTTGGAAGGTAAGACATGCTTTAAGGGTTGTGAAAATGACGCTGCCTTTACAACAAAAGAATATTCGTTTCTGCCAGCCCAGTGTCTGAATTTTATAATTGAATGAAGTGGTCTTGATTTTAGCAATAGTTCTATAGAACCTTTTATTTAGATGCAGAAGTCCTTTCTGGGGTGGGGGGTGGTGCCACAGCCCTGCTGTCGCTCCTTATTCTTGTCATGTGATGACGTGTGTGCATTGAAAAGGCAGTTTCAGAAAGCAACTTGTGAAAGGATGAACTCTGACATTAGGTTGATCATTGGTGTTGCACACTTGAACAACACCTTATTCTTAGCACTGTGCCCCTAGAAAGAAAGACATGGCAGGAAAAAAGTCACCTCTGTGTCTAGCACTGGACTCTTTCAGTGTACCTTCCTCGTCTTTTCTCTCTTGGAAAAATAAACGTTTGGAAGTGCTATCCACAGTCAACAGACGTATCTAACCAAAGCCTGCTTTGTGTTTACATAGTCATCATTGACGTAGCAAACTATTCAGGAAAACTTGAATAAACTTTTAACAAGATAATACTTGAGAAGAAAAAAAATGAATATCTTGCTAGGTAGCTATCATCCATCCATCCATCCATCCATCCATCCATCTTTCTATAATATATAGAACTTATAACTTAGGTTGGTACTCCCCTTATATTTTCATAAGAGTGATACTTTGCTACCCACCACATCACCTCACAGAGTCATTGTAGTAATTTCAGAAGCATAGAGTGAAGTTTGGCAAGTTTTGGTAAATGGAATGAACAGTGGGTTATTGTTCCTTGCAGGCTGTTATGCCAGGTGTCCCGAGAGCGCACCCTATCTGGATGAGAACACTATGAAATGTGTCCAGTTATCCGAGTGCAGCTGCTACTACAATGACGTCATACCAGCAGGGGGAGCTGTTGTGGATGAGTGCGGAAGAACATGGTATGTGCAGCTCCATCTGTGATACAAGCTACCCTGTAGTCAAAAATAACAACAACAACAAAAGATCGTAAACAACCAAATGGTTTATAAAATCTTTAATCTTATGAGAAGATAACAGGAAAAGTCACTCTGTAGTTTAGGGGAAGGGTTATATGAAATTTTATAAATGTAGATTGTATTTTCAGCCTGTCGAGTATGGTGTCATGCCGATGAGATTGTACTCAGGAAACATGCTCATTAAGTAATTAAATTGAGGCAGCTAATTTTAAAACTAACTTTGCTGCTGGACCATAAATCATTATGGAGTCCCACAAACTCTGAGGTGAAAGGAGCAGGAAAAACATCCAGTCAAGCACACAAGCAACTGAACTCGGTGTGCTCCAAGGGAGGCAATTAACGCTCTTCTCTTGGTTCTGTTTCGTTTTCATCACCTGACAATTTGTTGTCCTGAATTTGTGAAATGTGCGTTCCTGGCAGTCGAACTCAGAGTCATTCTTTTCCTTTTCCTATTTAACTTTCAGCTATTGTAACGCTGGCGAGTTGGACTGCAATGGTAAGGACTCATTTTCCTCCACTTCATCTAGGAATGGTGAGATAACAGACGTGGGCCCTTGTGGACCAAGAACAAAACAGAAGTTCATGAGCATGCTTTTGACTGTCTGTATTGGACTGGCACCATTCCAACTGCATGGCTGTTCATAGAGGGTCATTCCTCAAAGCCCGTGCTGAAAGGGCCTTTCCAGTAACTTTCAGGGTGGCTAAGGATTGTGGTTTTTCTACTGCATGTATGCCCTGGTGTTGAAATAGGAGCGGCGGCAGGGCTGCGTCCCCGGCACCCTGCCGCCCGCATGGCTAGCTTATGCCCAGAAATAATTACACGGAAACTGTATTCTTTTAAACACTGTCTGGCCCGGCTAGTTCCAGTTTCTTATTGGTTAGCTCTTACATATTGTTCTAACCCATTTCTAATATTCTGTGTAGCCCACGAGCTGGCTTACCAGGGAGGATCTTAACCTGCGTCTGTCTGGAGCGGGAGAACCATGGCGACTCCTCACTAAGCTTCTTTTTCCCAGCATTCTCTTCTGTCTACTCCGCCTACCTAATTTTCTGTCCTATGAGGGCCGAGGCAGTTTCTTTATTATTACAAGACCCACCTCCATCACCCTGGCACCTGCTACTTGTGTTTTCTCTACTGCATCCATGCTCTAACTTCAGATTCTTGTATTTTTCTGCTGCATGTGTGCCCTGATAGTTGTGAGTGTTTTCCCTACTGCATGCATCCCCTGACATGCTTAGGGGATTAAGAGGATGAAGCTGCACCAGTCAAGGCAATTTAATGAAGGGATGGAAGAGAAATGACATAGATAGGATGAGAGGGCTTCAGGGACACTTGAGAAACACATGTTACAAACGAGTCCTGAAAGAAATATTCTTGCTTTGTATTAAGAACTGTAAGACGCAAAACAAAAGACACATGATTCCTAAATGACTTAAGATGTAAAACTTGGTCAGTACTTTCAATTCTTGCCAATAATGGTCATCTGTGTTCATTTCAGAGACTCAGCCTACAAATTCAACAACAACAGGTAAAGCTACAAATGTGTGTTAAACATTGAACCAATCTTTGCATCAACACCCTTTATTTATAGTTTCATACAATTCTGTGCCAGTAAAAATATTGGTAAACCAGATGATATAAGTGAAAACTAAAATTGCTACTAGAAAATACCAGAATATTGTTTCACCATATTTCTAGAAACTAAGTCAAAAAAGTAATTACAACATGCCATAAATATTCCATACTACTTAACTAAATATCATCACCCTGAGTTTGATATTTTTAGGTGTTAATTAAATTAATGGTAAAATGAGGTGAATGTGGTATCTTAATGATATAAATATTTGAAAATTATGATCAGACTTAGAGATGATTTGAAAATTGAAATAGTTCATTCCTTGTTCTTAAATCATGTCTTTATATTATTTGGTACAGGTATTTAATTTATTTTCATCCAAGAGAATTCTGGGAAAATTAAGTTTTGAAACCTTGAATTTCCTGATAACTTGAACACTCTTGGGGTTACTACAGCACACCTCTCTGTATGGTTTAGAAGGGATTTCATTTCCTTTTGACAACTGATTAGAGGTCAAACAATCAAGATGTTGGGGAGTTTAGACTCTGGCGATAAACTTAAAGTTAGGTAACCTTGTCGGAGAGCTGTAGGCACTAAAACTACTACTGCCTACTTTCCTGAGACTGGACTATTGGGTAGCAGGTTCCTGGACTGCATTTCTTGGTCCTTGTAAAGTTGCTGAGAAGATGAGCTGTCTTATCATGACAGAAAACAGTTATTTCTGTGGACATACGATAGGTAGTGCTATTTGTACTAATTTATATACAAAGGCATTTTTGTCCCTTGATTTCTACAGATAAATTTACAAATTTTAATTTTAGTTGAAGACAATGTATTTCTTGAAAGAAATGCCCTAACAAAGATTCCTCAATTAACTCGTTCCCTAAATACTCTCTCCCCAAACAGTTTCTATGACCACAACTACTTCCTCATTCAGCACCCCAACAGGTAATTAAGAAGAAAATGTTTGTATTATTTTTAGTTTGTACACTGAGAGCAAAGAAAATGTCAGGTTCAGGCCTGTGCGCCCTGCCTCCAATCTGTCAATCTTCATTTCTTCATCTCCTAAATGTTCATGCTAAGTAGCTGGGTTGCCATCTGGTTGAACTGTGGGCAAAGAGCATGGTCCCTATGGTTATCTTCCCCAAAAGAACATTTTACATGTTGGCTAGGAGGTAGCAACTATGCTAACAAATCCTAAGCTAAAATTTTCACCCATGGATGAAGTTAAAGCCGTAGGCACGAAATTACAAACATATAATGAAGTGTGTAAGAGTCTGATGGATGGACCTGAGCGATGCAGTAATTTATGTACACTTTTGGAAACCTGATCTAGATGAAGGCTTTTTAGCTTAGTCCACTATGTATTTTAACCTATACTTCCAAAACATTTGTCTCCTCTGCACAGCTGTGACCCCCTTGGCCAGCAGCTCAAGGACAGGTAAGCCTTTGCCAGCAGGGCATTTCAGGCCCAGCAGCCTTACCTCCCAAGGTTTGTGCCTTTGCGATCACAGTGTGGTAGGAAGTANAACAGACGTGGGCCCTTGTGGACCAAGAACAAAACAGAAGTTCATGAGCATGCTTTTGACTGTCTGTATTGGACTGGCACCATTCCAACTGCATGGAATACTCTTGGGGTTACTACAGCACACCTCTCTGTATGGTTTAGAAGGGATTTCATTTCCTTTTGACAACTGATTAGAGGTCAAACAATCAAGATGTTGGGGAGTTTAGACTCTGGCGATAAACTTAAAGTTAGGTAACCTTGTCGGAGAGCTGTAGGCACTAAAACTACTACTGCCTACTTTCCTGAGACTGGACTATTGGGTAGCAGGTTCCTGGACTGCATTTCTTGGTCCTTGTAAAGTTGCTGAGAAGATGAGCTGTCTTATCATGACAGAAAACAGTTATTTCTGTGGACATACGATAGGTAGTGCTATTTGTACTAATTTATATACAAAGGCATTTTTGTCCCTTGATTTCTACAGATAAATTTACAAATTTTAATTTTAGTTGAAGACAATGTATTTCTTGAAAGAAATGCCCTAACAAAGATTCCTCAATTAACTCGTTCCCTAAATACTCTCTCCCCAAACAGTTTCTATGACCACAACTACTTCCTCATTCAGCACCCCAACAGGTAATTAAGAAGAAAATGTTTGTATTATTTTTAGTTTGTACACTGAGAGCAAAGAAAATGTCAGGTTCAGGCCTGTGCGCCCTGCCTCCAATCTGTCAATCTTCATTTCTTCATCTCCTAAATGTTCATGCTAAGTAGCTGGGTTGCCATCTGGTTGAACTGTGGGCAAAGAGCATGGTCCCTATGGTTATCTTCCCCAAAAGAACATTTTACATGTTGGCTAGGAGGTAGCAACTATGCTAACAAATCCTAAGCTAAAATTTTCACCCATGGATGAAGTTAAAGCCGTAGGTACGAAATTACAAACATATAATGAAGTGTGTAAGAGTCTGATGGATGGACCTGAGCGATGCAGTAATTTATGTACACTTTTGGAAACCTGATCTAGATGAAGGCTTTTTAGCTTAGTCCACTATGTATTTTAACCTATACTTCCAAAACATTTGTCTCCTCTGCACAGCTGTGACCCCCTTGGCCAGCAGCTCAAGGACAGGTAAGCTTTTGCCAGCAGGGCATTTCAGGCCCAGCAGCCTTACCTCCCAAGGTTTGTGCCTTTGCGATCACAGTGTGGTAGGAAGTATGTGTGTTTTTGTCTTTGAAAAAAATAAATGTGTTAGGAAAGTTTTTCGAGAAAAAAAAACACACACAATGTTTTCTGACTTTTATGTTTGAGTTATAATTGTTAGAACTTCATTCCCACATTTTAAGTTGCCTTTGTGACCAAAGTTTTCTGAAATAATAATTTTGAGTTCAGCTATTTTATGGACGACCATACCTGTTCTCAGGAACATAATATTCCTCTGTACAAAGTTTAGTTTTTCAATTGTTTTCTCAAAAATTAAGCAGCACCCATTCAAGCAGTTATAATATCAAGCACCAAAGCAATAGTAGATACATCAGAAACTTTATAAAAGTTATTTAAATCAAAAGATTTTTCAGGCCAGGCAGTAGTGGCACACGCCTTTAGTCCCAGCACTCGGGAGGCAGAGGCAGGCAGATCTCTGTGAGTTCAAGGCCAGCCTGGTCTACAAGAGCTAGTTTCAGGACAGGAACCAAAAGCTATGGAGAAACCCTGTCTTGAAAACCAAAAATAAAAAGATTTTTCAGGTATAAACCTAAGATAGATTGCATATAGTATAAATATTTGTTTGATTGCTTATTTGAACTACTGAGGTCTAAATTCTCCCATTCAGTGTTCCTAGTTTATCCACCTAAAGATTAACAATCACTGAGTAGTCTAATACCTTAGACAAATGAAAATATGAGGAAAAATGCTTGAGAAAAGGTGACCAGCCAATGCATCACTATGACTTTCTACCTTTATGCTCTCACATACACAAATAATAAGAAAATCATAAAGAGATTTGCCCTTCCAAATCCACATTATTTCTAAAACATCATGTTCATGGTCTCCTCTCACTAAGCTACTTGATTCCTTTTCTTCTTTGAATTAATAACTTATATATTCTAAAATAGGCATGCTTCTAAAGATGCTTGTCCTGGTTTTTCATTCTAGTATTCCCAATTACATCTAGGGTCTGGCTATGCAATTGTATCTGACAAATTCTCTAAAATGAGTGGGTTATTCTAACATGTTGAACATTTGTAACAATAGTTTTTATTTTAAAACAGAAATTTAGTAACTCAGTTTCTGCAAATTGGCAAAGAGCTTTTTTGGGGATGATTTTGGGTTTGAATATTACTTAAGCTAATAAGTCCTTGAGTACATGTATTTTGTTTATCAACGATAACCTTCCTTCTGTAGAATAAAAATTTATAAAAACAAGCTGATTTTTAGATTATAATGTCTTATAATATGGAATGGCAAATATAATTTAAAGCATCTTATAATGCTCAATGTTATTTATTTGATAATCATTATCCTTTATATACAAATCAATGAGTGTTGGACAAAGGAAACTAAAAGCAATTCCTTATATCAAAGTATTAGCAATCAGACCAGCAAGATGGCTCAGCTGGTAAAGGGCTTACCACCAAGCCTGAGGACCTGAGGTTAATCCCTGGTGTCCAACGGCTACAGGCTGCCCACTGACATCCACAAGTGTGATGTAGCTTGTACCACCCCCAAATCAATAAGAAGTGTTAAGATGGGTATGTTATTTTTGAAACTAGAGCCACATGCTTATTCTTGCCAACTTCGTATTCTCTTGGATTATCTTTAGCCATACCAAAAAATAAAATCTTTGGAAGACTGGCTCACTTCAAGGTGTTTTGTTGCATTGTGGGCTCATCAATTCGTGTTCCCAGGGAAATTAGTAATTGTAACTAGTGGGTTTTCTGTATAATGTCATGTTTACTGCAGAATAATTTCTACTCAGCATTAACTGGGCCCTGAGCAGTGAACCACATCCTCACACTGAGCTTAGCTTTGTTTCTGAGATGAGCATACTGGTTCTGTTCCAACATTCCATTTAGTTAATTGCCTACTAAAGTGTCGAGTCTTGTGACTGTTTAAGTACAGTTTCCATCCATGGGTGCTTTCATCCCAGAGGTAAGCAAGCGCGCTGACCAATAGGGGAAACAGTTGCAGGTGTGAGTATCGAGTGGCTGCACACTGTCACCGTTGTCACCACAGTCTCCTTCTTCCCGGACTCGGTTTTGAGCAAACGTTCAGTTTTATTTTGTCAGTACTTTGCATGCACAAAAACTACCCGAGTTTTGAAAGGAAAGGGTTTTTGTAGGCAACTGGTAAAGTGCTTCAGGTAAAATCTGTCTCTGTGAGCCTATGAGAACTGTTTCTTCTACATCCTATCACTTTACGAATGCAAGCTTCAGTGTGGAGCTGAGTTGGGCAGGAGGGCTGCCCATAACTTTGCCACTGACTTTATTCACTGTTCTATTAGTGATGCTTTTTTTTTTTTTATGTTTTGTCTCGAAGAATCCCAGCGTTTTATTTAGTTTTGCTGAAATTCCACTGATTGCTTGGTGACTTACAGTATTAGTAACTGCTAAGTCAGCGGTTCTCAACCTGTGGGTTGTAATGCCTTTGGGGGTCAAATGACTCTTTCACAGGGGTCGCTCACATAAGGCCATTGGAGAACACAGGTATATACATTACAATTCATAGCAGTGGCATAATTGTAGTTCTGAAGTATCAATGGAAATAATTTTATGAAAGAAAATAATTTTATGGTTGGGGTCCCAACTTGAGGGACTGTATTAAGGGTCGCAGCATTAAGAAGTCTGAGACCCATTGGGCTAAATGCTTCATTAGTATAGCATCGAGAGATCAGCTAATGACTCAGAACGCTGCAGTCTGCTCTGTCAGTACCTTCCTTCACTATCTCGGCAAGCCTCACACTTCCTGATGAAGGATTTTTGTTCCCCACACGCCCCTCCCTGTTTGACACTATAGGAAGGGGTTAGATGTTCTTTAATAATGTTGCCAAGGTTTTGAAGAGAAGATTGTGATGATGCCTGCAGCTTCATACAGACAGGAATCAGGGTCCTATCTATTGTTCTTTTCTTACTACCCACAGAGCCATAGTTGATGTTCTAAAATAGGGAGACAAAAGCAAAATAATTTTATTGTTTTTTTTTCCTTTTAAAATAGTTCCATTGTGCTACAAGTTATGTGGGCACTTTAAATTTGCTAAGTAACCCTTGCATATATAAAATGAATATCAAATTGTCAGGTGAATTGTGTCTTTTAGCTTTTCTTAATAATGTCCCTGTAGCTTGTTGTGTCACAAGAATAAATCACCTCCCAGATAAACGGATTTTATGGCGATGATCAGATGATGGAAGGCCTAGCTTCTCATCTACAATTCCTCCTCCTTTTTTTTTTAACTTTGATAATATTACACTCAAAGGAGGAGACTTTCGCAGCCATTAAACTAATAATGAATTTGAGGTGTGGATAATACCACCATTTATCATTGTGGATGCCGGGAGCACAGCGGGCACAGATCAGGTTCTGTTGATGATGTGAGCACCTTGGACTGGGTACAGACTGTTGAGCAGAACATGACATTGACTAAGTGTAAGAAATAACAGGCCAGTGTCCATTTGCCTGGGGAGCTGTAATAACCATTCAAAGGTGAGACTCTGAAAGTATGCTGTCTGCAGTACTGATTTCTTTATTTTGAAATCTAAAAGACAAAAAACTGCTATTCTTTTATTTTTATAATACATATAAAATGAAGCATTTTCCTCTAAGGCTCACCAACACACTTTTTTTAGAACTTTTTTTCAGGAGATCTTGTCTTTTACTACTTCCCATGTAGATTAGATCCATGTATCTCTCTCTTAGGGTCCTCATTATTGTCTAGGTTCTCTTGGCTTGTGATTTGTAGGCTGGTTTTCTTTGCTTTATGTTTAAAAACCACTTATGAGTGAGTACATGTGATAATTGTTTTTCTGGATCTGGGTTACCTCACTCAATATAATGTTTTCTAGCTCCATCCATTTGCCTGCAAATGTCAAGGTGTCATTACTTTTCTTTGCTGTGTAGTACTCCATTATGTAAATGTACCACATTTTCCTTTTCCATTCTTTGGTTGAGGGGCATTTAGGCTGTTTCCAGGTTCTGGCTATGACAAACAAAGCTGCTATGAACATAGTTGAGCACATGTCCTTGTGGCACAATTGAGTAGCCTTTGTGAATATATACCCAAAAGTGGTATTACTGGGTCTTGAGGAAGGTTGTTTCCTAATTTTCTGAGAAATTGATATACAGATTTCCAAAGAGGCTGTACTAGCTTGCACTTCCACCAGCAATACAGGAGTGTTCCCTTTACCTGACAACTTCTCCAGCATAAGATGTCATAAGTGTTTTTGATCTTGGCCATTCTAACTAAATTTACTTAATGAGCACCTTGCCAAGTAACAGAAATTTTGGTAACACTCCACAGAGAAGTGGCTTTTCTTTTTGTAGAGTGACTGTTATGCAAAAATAGTAGACTTGGAGACAGATCTCATTTCTCTTTACCGACAATGAGGGCTCAAAAGTTGAATGGCATTTGTTGAAATATGAAGAATACATAACTACATAATGGGTGCTTTTAAGTCTTCTAGTGGTATGTTTGGTTTTTATGTGATATGAAAAATGGACCTTAGTTCATTACTCCATGTTTATTTTCTTAAGTAACCAGAAACATATTGTTTCATTTCTTCAATGCCTGCCATGTGTAATGTTTAGTATTTCCACCAGTATGGTTCATGCATAAAAAAGAAAACTTTAAAACTTTATGAAGTGACATAGGATACAGAGGCCAAATCACACAGAAAGCAGTGTGGAGATAATCCCGGTACTGCAGAGCTGACTTTGTTTCTAGCTTTGTTATTGGCCAGCAGAAATTTGAACTGAACAATTAATATCCTCATGTCCAGTTCTTTGGATGAAAAATGGGTAGAGTATTTTGACAACTTTCATTTATTTAGGAGACAAATGTCTACTGAGTACTTATTATCTGGTAGGCCCTTTGATTGGCTCTGGCTTTGCGAAACTGAATTAAACAGGCTTGGTGACACATGCCTGCAAGAGTGTCACACAGAGGCCAAACAGGAGCATCACAAGCTGGAGGCCAGGCCAAGCTGTGTGGAGACCTCATGAAAATGAAGCACAGCCACTGCCTTCCCAGCAGTGTGGTGAGGAAGATCCCTGTTAAAGAAGCAGTAAAGAGCAGATGAGAGTGACGTGCATCTCAGGAGCCTCACGATGGCGCGTGTCTGCAGGGAGAAGCACCTTACTCAAGTCAGAGAAACTGGGGGTGACTGAAGCAAGGATGTTGAGCTGTGAGCTAAGCCAACAGTTCACCTGTAGGGTACCATGAATGGCAGACAACAAGTATATGTGCATGTGCATTAGAAAGCATATCATGACCTCACTGTTTTAAAATCTACACAAATATCGATAATTCAACCTAAACCTATACCTAGACTATAAGCTATTCGATATTCAATAAAACATTTATCTACCCTCAACACTACTTTACAAACTATTATATATGGTGGAAAGTATCTAATGGCTGAGTAGTCATTTTAGTTCACCCACTGAGAGCAGAAAAGGTTTGTGGTCAGAGAGCTATTGGGATATGCCGTGAGACATGTAATGGTCAGTCCATTCTCAAGGCATCTCATGAAACAATGAAAATGATTTATGACATGCTTGGGACATGATCAGAGGTTAACATGATATGAAAATAGGAAAAGGAAGGAAACTAGAGTCAACTGGCCCTTAACAGTAAGCATTAGTATAATTTAATAAAGTTGCTGAAAAAAATGTCTTTGCAAAAACAACCAGAACAAAACTTTAAAAAGAGCATTAAGTAAAGCAAGGTTTTTGAAAGATAATTTTTAAATGTTATCAGCAGTTTGCAGGGAAGTGTGCATAGGAATGAGAATTTATTTATCCTATTTTTTTTATAGTGGAAAGATTAGAGAGTTAGTTTGCTCATTGGTGACAAAGTCCAATGTGACATTAGATGAGAAAGTCCTCTTCTGTTTTCTTAGACTCTACTGGAACCTCAGCTGCTGATCTCTCTACAACGGGAAGTGCAGGCTCCACGGCAGCCCCAAGCTCAAGCTTTAGTTCTGCGCTCACGACAGGTACACTAATGACGAACAAAGAATCTTGGTCTCAGCCAAGGAGCTGGTTTCAGACATGCTACCCAGATAGTGGTTTTCATATATAAACATCAGACCTGGGTGGTTTTCCCAGGTATCTTAACCTTTCAATGATTTATTTATGTGTATCGTGCTACAGTTATATACTTCTACTCTCTGAGGGTGGGAACTCTAAGGTACATTTTCCGCCTGGATTATTGATTTTCTTTTTAACCTTTATCAGGATCAACCAGAACTTCTCAATATATAACCACTGAAGCTAATAGTGAAAGTACAGTTGGCACAGTCTTCTCAACGGGTATGCAACTAACCTCTGAAGCCCTGCTTTGTAGCACACTTGTACAAGCAACCCTTGATTTCTGCTCAACTACAAGTTGACCCTGTGGAGAATAAAAGATAATAAGGACCTGGTGCCTAGGCTAAGTCACCTGGAATACTGGACAAAATCCAGGATTCGTCCATGATGACATGCTAGCGACTCATTTGGCTCACAGTTTTGTGTTCTAGGGCTCTGTCTAGTGACAGCCCACCCCCTTGGCACACAGTAGTAGGTTGTGACTAGAAGTCTGCACAGGTGAAAATGACTGCATCTGCATCCAGATGAAGCCCTGCGAGGGACCAGGCTGAGTCTTTTACAGAGGTCCTTTCATTAGGACCACCCTGATCCTTCTCCAATAATATCCCTATCTGAGAAACAATAGGTGTAGTAGAAAGTCCTAGTGTGGCTTGTTGATCGTCTGCCAGCCACTTGGGTTACCAGGATCGAGTCACTTAAAGTCCAAGATAAATGAAAAGAGAGTAATAGTGGTGGGTTTTTATAAAGCAAAGTCAATTAGCTGATGTCTTTATCAGCATCATGTTGTTTTCACCAGGAGGAATGGCTAGTACTTCCGTACCAACCACTAGCATCAAGAAAGGCAGCACCACCAGGGGACCAAATACTGGAGTCACAAGCCCAGCAAACACGGGTGAGTCAGAGCATGCATATTATTACTGCCTAGTGGATGAACACAAAATCACCAAAAGTTGGCTATTAGATAAAGTATTAGAAGAGCCCAAGAGGTTAACACTTGATTTGAATCTATCATCTCATACTTGAGAAAAGCTAGCAAATGTTGGACCAGAGCTTCTGTCATATTTAGTAAGTAGAAAAGAAGACTCAAGAGGCCAACCTCAGGCTTTTACAGGAGCAATACTCCTAGACTGTTATCAACTACTAAGACCACTAGCAATTTAGACCCAACAAGCAAGGCTAGGTCTCCTTAGAGGTCCATTGTGGAACTGTGGGGTGATAGGAAGCTTTGCTTATACCACAGAATATTGTAATGAGCTCAGAGTACTGTAATGAGATACTTTGTCAAACATAGACCAAAATGCAGGAAATAAGGGCAGGAGTGAAGGTAAGAACTTCCCTGAAAGTATCTTCTACATAGCTGAATGCATGAAGCTCTTATTCTTCCCTCAGGAACAAGTGGCAGGGAAGATACAGCCACCACTGGAACTGCTGGTGAAAACACATCTGGAGGAACAGGTATTTTGGGAACACAGATCTCTAGCCTGTACACATACAGGTTCAGTGTTTAGGATTTAGCCATAAATAAGGTTTCTTAAGGAGATCTGAGAAAGGGTATGTAGATGGTATCAAGTGCCCCAAAGGCCAGGAGAGAACTAAAGTATTTATTCTGTACAAAGTGTAAGAAAGACAGTCTTGGAGGCACACCCTCTCATCCCAACACACTCTAAAGCTGTACACACTTAGAAGATAAGACAATAATCAGGCAGGAGCCAGCAGGGAAAAACTATTAAGGAAATTCAATTCTATAAATAAGATCAGCTAGTAAAAAGCTTACAGGCTTGCCATACCTTATTAATGAAGCGTGCCTTAATGGAATGGACTCGTGATCACTGTAATAGGAGTCACCTGGTTTATATAGAGCAAGAACCAAAGAAACAATGGTTTTGGCTTGATTGGTACATCTGCTTTGTCACAAGAAAGAACAGAAAAAAATTCAGATTATACTTCCAAGAGAACCGAGTGCAGATCCCTCTGACTGGGGTGAAGTGGGTCTTGAAGTTCTCATCTGCATCTTCCTGAGAGCTAAGGACACTGAGCACTCACTAAAACATCTTATAGCTATTTTTATTTCTTCTTTTGAGCACTTTCTATTAATTCCATAGCCAATTTTTACGTAGGTTGTCTGTTATTTTAGCATCTCCAAAAAGAGATAGTTTGATCCTTTGACCTCGTTTCCTGTTTCTGTCACTTTTATTTTCCTTCTCTCATACTGTTTTTTTTAAACAGTGTCACTGTCTCTCTGTGTAGGTCTCTGTCCCTTCCAATAGCAGACACAAACTTAAGATGAATACACTGTTACTGTGCACAATAAGGGAGCATATGGCAATATATGCTAAATACCTTGTGGATGCACATCAGGTATCAGGGGCAAAACCTGGAGCTTCGGCACTATAGCCATTGGTTCTGGCAACTCAGCTGTCCTGAACATTTGCCATAGCATCTTATGCTCCTGCTTAATGTGCAGATTTATATCATAAGTCTCTAACTGGGATTTGAAACTGGTTTGAGGGGATCTAGAAAGCAGTGTAACTTCCTTTTCTGACATTGCCAAGTACCCATAGTAATGTCATGAGAAACATGCCTAATATTACAAGTCCAAACCTATTCTTAGTTCCAGGGACCACAGAAATGTTTTCAGGCCTTACAACTACCAGCCCCAGAGCTTCCACCGTGACATCCATAGCCTCTGCTAGTAGCAAATCAGGTGAGTAAAAGGGAGCATCCAATGGGTTTGCAAGGATCTGATGACCTCCGTGTCCTGGCTCCATTTCATGATGAAGATGTACAGCACCAGTGAGAGCCAAGTTAGAGAGCCCTGTCCCTCAAACACAATGCCCGGAGCATGGGGGTGTGTGTTACCTTGAGTTTGGATATTTGGGGGCAATCTGGATGCCCTTGTGCTTAAGGTTGATGGTTCCAAGATTTCACTGGTAGAGACGATACTCTTAGTTGGTTTATGGCCATGACTGACATCCTTGGTACCAACTAGAGAAAATTTGAGACGTCTGTCCTAGGCTATTACAGACTCATAGAATACAAACCTCTAAAAGAAGGGCTCAGGTAAGGATTTCATGAAAGCCCCACACTTTGGTTCCTATGTGTGTTCTAAATTAAGAAATAATCAATTCCAGTACTCTACTACTAAACGAGTAAATGTAAACAAACTTATCCATTCAGCAAGGAAATAGGCAGATACCGGGGTTCTCTGGATCACAGAATGTTTTTGATCATTATTGGAATGGAGGAGGTGCTGAAGTGTAGGGAAATCAAAGCTGCTTTGAAAGCAGAAAGTAACGTGCCCTGTCTTTCTGTATCAGAGAACCTGTTACAAGCATATTGCTCACACTGAAAACAAGACTCACTCTGTCTGAAGCAAGGAACAAGCACAACATGGGAAATTTGGTATTTTAGATAAATGTCACATCTTTTCATTGAAGGCTTGTATAAAACAAATGATTAAATTAAAATACTTCATTTGGGATATTTTTTCTGGTCCTTTTCAAATCATCTCTCTGCAATAATTTGAAAATTATAAAGGATGCTCAATGACCATAGATTGTTTAAAAGTCAGGCTAGCCCTCAGAACTCAGGGAGCTATGCATAAGAGGAAGGGGAAGAGCCAGAGGGTATGGAAGACTCCAAGGAAAGGGCCTCTTTCAAACACCACAAGACTGATGCACTTATGGGCTCACAGAGCCTGTGGGAGCACACACAGGAACTGCACATATGAGCCTACAGAGACTGTGAAAGCACGCACAGGGTCTGCACAGGTTCAAGCCAGATGGGGTCATTCCATGACTAAGAGCAGGGAAGTGGATGCCGAGTACCTAACCTTATCTATTTGCAGTTGATCTCTGCTGGCAAAGGGAGAATGAGTTTTCTCCAATGGAGTGTCACTGGGTATATCAACCACACACCAAGGCAGGCTCTATGTCCAACAGTAGTTGGCCAACATATAATGAGCTTTTTTTTTTCGTGTGTGTATGTGGACTTTTTGTTTAATTTTGGCATTTTTTGTCTCATTGTTTTTTTGCTTGTTCTGATTTTCACTTTTGTATTTTTGTAGGGTTTGGTGTGCGTGTGTGCACGTGTGTGTATAAAAAAAGAGAGAGTGGGAGAGCATAAGAGAAAGGGGGAGAACAAAGTAGGATGGGTAGACTCTGGGAGGAGTTGTGGGATGGGAAAACATGATGAAAAACAATGTATGAAAAAACTATGTTAAAAAAATAAAAAGAAGCTTGATTAGAGTTTACTTTCTGGGGACAGTGTTGGAATTGTTCTACCTTATCTGACAGAGGACTTGGTGTAAGCAGCTTTGCTGAGTCTGGGCAATGGGAGGAATCATATTGCCAGCATCAGAGGATTTCTTTGTCTATGAGATTTTTGAACCCTGTTTATGAATTAGGTGGAGTCCTTTCTACACCCACAACCACATCTACTGACAAGGAAACCGGAACTTCCAGTGCACACATCAGCACTGCAACAAGCCGAGGAAACCTGGGTAAGTCAGGACAGGCATGTCTTCCTGCCGAGTAAATGGGTAGAAGTAAAAGCATGGCTGCAGGGGAAGGATGGAAATGCTTGCAGCGTGATGCATGGATGCATATCTAGGAATATCTTCCTTCAGAAGGACTTTATAGCACACATTTTAAGCAGTCCTCTTTGTCTACCAGGTACAACTGGAGAGTCTGTGGGAGTTACTTCAGGAGCAGGCACGGAGGCCACATCTGGAGCCCCACTCACAGGAGTCACCTCTGGAAACCCAGCAGGCAAGACAGAGAGTCCATTGGGACTCTGTTGTGGACTAACATTAGCTGTGGCCAGAACTGAGTATCATAATGAAAGCAAAAAAAGTGGCTGAGGACCACACTGTAGAAATGAATGGCAAGAATGTAGTGATGAAGTAAATGCCTTTGGGAGGCTGTTGTGGTTATCACGGTGACCCAAATCACTGCTCTTGTCATAGGAACAAGTGGAGGAACACATGCAGCCACCACTGGAGCTCCCAGTGAAAACACACAGGGAATAACAGGTATGAGGGGAACACCCAGGCAGGAGATAAGAAAGTCTTTCATACAACATGTAGTGAGATGAAGTTCTGTGGTGAAGCTGAACGTTGTTGATGTCACACAATGTTACTTTTCTTTCTATGAATAACACCCAACCTGTTAAGAAAGTTGATTTTGCTCACAGTTTAAGGATAAAGTCCCTCCTGGCAGGGACATTATATAAGTGACAGAGTTCTATCGGTGGCATCAGGATCATGAAATGACTGGTCACACTGTTCACAGTGAGGAGCAGAGTAACGCATGCTGGTGCTTTGTTTCATTCAGTCTCGGACCCCAACACATGGGATGCTCTCAACTACCATACTAGGTCTTCCCTTCTCAGGGACATATCTCTGCAAGCATACTCAGAGATAGCCTAGAAATGTGTACCATGATTTTAGATACATTAGAGTAGATAATGAAGATTATCCATTATAGATGCCAAGTGTCCAAGAGAGGTTAAACATATTGAGTATTGGTTTTGTTGTAACTTAAGTACACAGTGGTATGTGATGAACAAATAGGGGAATGTGCAATCTCACAAGCTTCATTTTGTGAAAAAAAAAAACAATCATAAGATACAGGAGCTGAAGAATAATGCTGTACTCAGTCCTCTGTGCAAAGATGCTCACAGGGTTCTAAGACAATCCTAAAATTATCAGCATCACTATGAGGAATTTCACACAATTAAGATGCTTCATAATCCATGGCCCTCTCAGTAGATTTAGTTTACTCTCAATTTACCTTGAGAAAGTATTTAGGATGCCACTCAAGCTTACATGGGTAGAAAACTTCTTATTTATTTATTTAGGTGACAAGATCTCACTATGCCGTTTTAGCTGACCTAAAACTTATTTTGTAGTCTGAGCTGACAAGGAACTCAGAGATCTGCTCACTGATTTCCAGTGATTGTTGGATTAAAGGAATACACCACAACACCTGGCTTACAAATTTTTCAAGGAAGAGAAAATCAAAGTTTGTTTCCTATTCATAATAATTTGTTCCTTTGCAATTTTTAACTATACTTATTTATCATTGGAAATCAGCAGGTATCTCCCAGACATCATCTGGAGGGACCTCTGCAGTGGCAGTGGGCAGCACTACGCCAACATCTAGTGTTGAGGGAAGCAGCACCGCTAAGGAGCACAGCCCGGGAACTACAAGCCCAGGATATACAGGTACCTCAGGTTGAGGAGTTTACTACCTCCCAGATGGGTACCACTATCACAGTACTAGTAAAGGGAGAAGATGATGGGATAGTACAAGAATGCTAAGAAACAGTTTTGATTCCCACATGTTTTCCTATAGAAGACAGGACAAAAAAACAGTATGGGTTTTATGTCTCTGAGTCCTGAGGCCAGGAACAACATGCCAACAAAAATTTGAGGCAGTTTGCACCACAGTCAAAAAGCAAAGATGGGAGCAGATGCTGAAGATGGGTACAGATGCTCAGCTCCCTTTCTGTTTTATTGCGATGAGGACCATAGTCAATAGAGATATCACCAACTTGTTGGGTGGTGGGCTTTCCACATGTAGTAAACCAATCTAGATGTTCTCTCATAGACATGTCAGGAGGCCTGTTTCCACAGGGATTCTGCATGCCATCAAGTTGACAGATTACCCACCACACTGTCTAATTCAAATGTATTCACACAGGAACAAGCGCAGGAGACAAAACTGTCACTACTGGAACTTCTGGAAACAGTGCATCAGCAAGAACAGGTACTAAGGGAACAGAGAAGGGGCTCATCCTGCAATTAGACCTGGGAATTTTGTCATTAAAATTGAGTAAGGGTCAGGCTACCATGAAGGATGTGATCAGTGTCCTTTGTGGGATACCAAGTGTCAACATGATTAAAACTATGCCCTTGGGTCTCAGAATACAGAAAAAGAGCATTAAAATACAATTCTCATGTAAAATAATTTGTACAGTCAAAATTAATATTTTTACAGATATGATTGACAAAGTTAAGGAGGTCAGACACCAGAAAGGCAAAGAATGCACATAGCTGCATGAGAAAATACAATAAGTGACAAGATCATTCAGTGAAAATACTGGAGCATCACCCTCCCCTCATTATACGTAGTGAGGAAGATGATCTTGGTGGAGTCAATATGAGTCTACCTACTTCACAGAATTTCATTTAAAAAACCCTAAAGACAGCGATGAACTTTGTTTAGTTAGATGTCACCATCATTTTAAAGAAAGAAATGGAACAATATTATTACTTGCTTTCTTAAGATGGTAAATTGTTTTTCCTATGTTAAAATTTTTATCCTTGAGGAAATTCAGGCACCCCAGGTGCATCATCTGGAGCAACCAGTAGAGAAGCAGGCACTGAGCTAATATTTATTCTTTGTTCTTATAAAACATCCAAAGCCTTCATCATAATGGCACGAGTTACATAGACATACTGACTGCCACCCAGGTTGCTTTGGTTCCTGGGAATGTAGGGAACTCTTAATGTCTTCACCTGGTCATTCCCAGAGCATTTTATAAAAGAGCCATGATTTGTGACATTAACAAACAAGAGGGTAAAAGGCAGAAGTGCATAAGCCTGTAAGGATCTAACAAGGTGGGGAGGGGGTAGCCCCATTTCCTGCATCTAGAGAATCGTCAGGTTGTAAATGAATTGGAAGAGTCTGGACTTGTGATGCAATTCCTTTTCTGCCAAAAGCATTATTAAGAAGAAGTACCATTATTAAGAAGAGGTTGCCATCTTACCCAGTAGTGGCATCCACACATTTCATGTGATGCATATCAATCCCAATATAAAGCCCTACAAATAGTAAAGATGTCATTCTGAAGAAGGGACTACACACAGATTCTAGTTCCCAGTGAGAACCAAGTAGAGGAGGTTTGGATTGCACACTGAAGTGTCCCCGTAGGCTCAAGGAATGTGGAACTAAACAAAATGAGGTGCAAGTTATAAGCATCTCACAGACATTCTACAGTAGGCTCTGCTGAGAATACGGAGGCAAAGGACACAAAACTCCAGTGTTGAAAGGGGAAACAAGTAAAAATGTCTATGATCACTTGCATCCAGTTAGTCAGTCCGTGCATTCAAGAATGATCTGGGTTATGGAAGATTTGGTAATCACTCGTTGGAACAAAGAAAGTTGAAACAGAGAAGAATTAAGAAATATAGGAATGAAATATTAATAATCTAAAGCATTAGTAGCCAGATCTGTTCTGCATCAAATCTGATAGACATTTACTGTTCACTTTAAAGGAACCACGACACCATCAGTTGTGGGGACATTTGGAACCCCAAACAGTGAACAGACTCAGCCTGCAGAAAAATCAAGAGAGTACAGGCTGATGGGGAAGGGTGGGGACTGTCAGGCTCTTCACAACAGAGATCACCCTCCTTCCTGTCATATTTACTTAAAATTGGAGGAGCTGAAAAAGCTTTTGATGGATGTAATGTGAGCCAGACACAAAGGGTTATGTGTGCCATCTTTAGAAGCTTGCTCTTACTGCAAAAAACTAAAGCTTCTGAAAATATGAGAAGTTAAAAATGGAGTAGAAAATCACTGGATTCATTACTTCTCATGACGTGACACTGATATGGTTCCAGCTTTCAGGTAGAAAAAACAGACAGAGGTTGGGAAGGAGGCAGAGAATCGAGTCAACCGTTATGTCCTAGTTGCCAGTCTCTGAAGGAGTACCCTGACACCAAGTGTTATCCTAGGGGAGAGAGAAAGGCTCTGCTATCTCGGAAAGTGTTCCTTGAACACAATTTGGAAATTTGTCACATTACTGTTTTGCCACAGATCAATGAGAAGCAAGGGAGAGGTTAGACTCTGCGGTTGGAGGGGTTGAGGTCAGGTTCTGGGTCTGCTGTAAGCTAAAAGGAAAATTAAAGAAGGCAAGCAAAAGTATCCAACAACTAAACAGGATAAAGATTCCCTGCAAATGTTTGAAATATAGTTTTTACAAATATCCAATGCCCTTGAAAGAAATGCAAATAAGAACCACTTTGAGATTTTGTTTAAACCCTATTCAGAATGACTAACATATAAATATGAGAAAAAATACTGCCAGGGATATGTGGAAAGGGGAAGATGTGTTTACTGCTGAGACAGCAAACTGGTGTAGGCACTATGGAAATCAGTGTGGAGGCTCCTCAAAAATCCCACGTTCCAGATTTACACTTGGAAATTTTCCCAAAGGACTCAGATCCTACTACAGAGGTACTTTCACATCTAGGTTTCTTGTTCCTGTATTCATTTTAGCCAGGGAATAGAAACAGCTTTTGAGAAAGATATTGTAGAAATTTGTAAGAGTAGAGAGTTCAATTTCATAAGAGGAAAAATAGAGTATTTCAATTCTTTTTCTTAAGAAAATTCTCCCTTTCAATATTCTTGTTCTTCTTGTTTAACCACAATAAAAAACAGGCACAGCCAGTGCATCCTTTGGAGCCACATCAGGAAGGGCAGTGAGCAGCACCTCTCTACCTGCAAGTACTGGAGCCCCAGGTTCAGGTGAGGCCCTTTAGTCTTGGAGAGGTCTCAGCAGCTCATCCATTCCCATGCTCCCTCAGATGACAATCTGAAAATTTGACATATATGTGGGAGTAAAATTGATGGCACCGGATGTAGTAGAAGTATGTCTTCTCATGTCTTATCCTGTAAGTCTATCCATATTAATAAGGATGTTTGGAATCATACGAACCTCCAAGATCCATATTTTCTTCTTATAGGGAGCACAGTGACATCCCCAGGACAAACCACCTTCCCTCAGGCCTCCAGTCTATCCCCAGCCTCTACCAGCAACAAACAAGGTAAATCAAAGAGAGCTCTCAGGTGTCAAATGGAGGGCAGAGTCTACCTCCATTTATTTAAATGTGAATGTAGGAATGACAAGGAGAAGGCTGAGTCACCTTATGATGAATGGGGACTAGTTCTCTGGGCATTTATTTATACTAGAATGTAAGAATGGCATGTGTATTGCTGGTCTATGAGGGGCTGCCTAGGTGGAATTGCATTCTAGGCCTGTTGTAAGCTCAAGAGGTGACTTAAAAAGTCATGGGAACATACCCTACAACTGAGCTAGATAATATTTCCCTGGAAAGGTTTTTTTTTTTTTTTGTGAAATGTTATTTCTAAGACAAATACATTTTCCAGCATGTGTTGTTTGCTTTACAGAAACAACAGGAACAGGCAACGAGGCCACACCTACAGTCTCAGGCACAGGCATCACTACTGGAAGCCCAGCAGGCAAGACAAGGACTCCATGGGGACTTTGGTGGGCCCTAATGCTAGTATTGTCCAGAACTGTTTGTGGTCATGAGTTCAAGAAAAGCTGACCAAGGACCACACTGTAGAACTTAATAGCAGAAATGTAACTTTGAAATGCCTTGAGAGGCTGTGGATATGATTATCGTAGACACTAAGCGTCATTCTTATGCCCGTAGGAACAAGTGGAAGTTCACCTGCAGCCAGCACTTGAGCTCCTGGTGAAAACACATCTGCAATGACAGGTACTGAGTGTGCTGGGCAGGGGGCACCCAGGCAACAAAAAGAGAACTTTGCATGGTGCCTGTAAGACAGTGAAGATCCATGGGAGAATTGACTGTTGTCTCAGAAGCCTTGTACTACAGTTTCTTTTCTTTATGGGAATCAAATCATGACCAAAGGCAATCATCTTAGAAGGATTTTATTTTTCTCACAATTTGAGGTAATTTTTACATGATAGGGAAACCATAGAATTCAGAGTGGTTCAGATGGAATTGTAGGGTCATGAGGAAGCTGTCCACACTGTGTCCACACTGAGGAAGGAGAGTAAGAAGACTGGTCCTCTCATGCTTCCATCCTTTCCCTCTCACATCCAGTCTAGCAGTGCAACTCATCCAACATCATGTTCCTATGCATTGACCTTTCCCTCTATGTTAATATCCTTACTAGATATGCCCAGATATATATTCTAAATGATAAAAAGTCTTACAACAAGTATCCAAAAGGTTGCAATGTATAGTCAAGTATTTGTTTTGGGTCTAATGTGATAAGCACTCCACAGTTGCTAAAAACAGGGAGATACCATGTTCTCATGCATCGTTAAGCTTTTGGATGAAATTAACAGTCCAGTGATGTGAGAGACTAAAGGTAAGGTAGACTATAATCAGGTGACTAAAGATTCCACAAAGACTTAAGTCAGTTCTAAAATAGCAATCATTCCTCCATAAGGAATTTCACTTACCTCCATAATTGTATTTTCCAGTTAATGAATATTTACCCCAATCAGTAGTTTATCAAATTACTGCATTTTGCTTGAAAAAAAAATGTCATTGAACTTAATAAGCATAGACACTTTCATTTGTTTAGACAAAAACTCCAGTTCAATTATTACTCATAAGAAAAACTCCCATTCAGACTTCTCAGTATTCTTTTTTTTTTTTTTGGTATGGTAAAAAATAGGCACACCTGGGAAATCTTCTGGAGCCACCACAGGAAGGGCAGGGGGCAGCACCCCTCTACCTGCAAGTACTGGAGCCCCAGCTACAGGTAAGAAGACTTCTTTGTCTTTGGTGAAGCTTCAGAAGCTCATTGCTTCCCAAGCTTTCTCAGGTGAAGGTCTAGAAATATGGCCTGTAGCTTTGATTAAAATTCAAGGCAAAGAAAGTGATCTAAGAATGTGTCTTTTCAAGTTTTATCATTCGAGCCAATTTCTATAACTAATAATATCTGGAATCATATAGGTATCTAGCATCGAAATTATTTGCTTTCCTTTGAGAAAGCCATTTGGTGTCAAATAAACTGGTTTCCCTTGAGAAAGAAGTTGTCATTAAAGTTTATTGAATGCATACTTTTATTTAATGAGAGAAAAATAGACTATTTTAATTTTTATTCTTAATAAAAAAAACTCCCCTTCAATTATCTTGTTATTCTTTTGTAATCACAATAAAAACCAGGCGCACGCAGTGCATCTTCTGGAGCCACATCAGGAGTGGTAGGGAGCAGCACCCCTCTACCTGCAAGTTCTGCAGCCCTGAGTTCAGGTGAGACCCTTTAGTCTTGGAGATGTCTCAGGAGCTCATCCATTCCCATGATTCCTCAGGTGATGAACTGGAAATTTTACTTGTATTTGTGAGTAAAAATTGTGACTGTGGGTGTGGTACAAGCATGTGTCTTCTCATGTCTGATCCTGCAAGCCCATTCATATTAATAATGATGTCTGGAATCATATGAACCTCCAACATCCTGTTTTCCTACTATAGTGAGCACAGTGACATCCCCAGGACAAACTACCTTCCCTCAAGCCTCCAGTTCATCTCCAGCCTCTGCCAGCAGCAAACATGGTAAGGAAAATAGAAGAGGCTATGCAGTCTTAAGTGTCAAAAGGAGGGCTGAGTCTTTCTCCATTTATTTATATTGGAATGTAGGAATTACATGTATATTTAAATACAATGAGTCCTCAGACACCCAATGTAGGGCTGAGTCTATCCCCACTTATTTATGTGGAAATGTAAGATGACACGTATATTATAAGGTGATGAGCTCTCAGGTGACAGATGAGGGACTGGTTATAACTCCATTTTTTCATAAGGGAATTTAGGAATTCCTTGTATATTCAAAGAAAGAAAGGTCACATCAGAAAGATGACTGTATTAGTTGATGTTTCTCTTATCCTGTCCTATAATTAGGTGGCCAATGTGCAATTTCAGCCAATCCTGACCCTGATTCATTTTTAGATCTTGTGGCCAGTGAGTCATGAGGACTAAGGCTTCCAATCTTGACTCAATTTGACCATCATTAGGATAGTTCTGAATATCTTCTTTATCAGAGTTACTAAACATGTTTCCTCATATGAAAGACCCAATCATCAATAAATTTTGATCCTAGTTGTTTGAATAAACATCTGAGTACTGGAGTAAACAGATGAATATGAAGGAGGTAGACAATCTTTCCATGCAAAATCAAATAAGCCCAGCAAGGATTCCCCCATAGCATATAAAATTTACAAAGATTGCATCAAATATAGAAAAATATGTAATGAAATGAAGGCACTAGACATCAGAGAGCAATGTGTTCTACTGCAGAGTCCGAGTCATGACATTGTGTTTCTTTTAAAGGAACAACTGGATCATCAGCTGGAACAACTGGATCCCCAAGCAGTGAGCTGACCTCACCTGAAATCAGTGCAGGTCAGTTGAGACAGTGTTCTGAAAAAGCTGAGGCTGTGTCAGTGTGATTTCTTCATACCTTGTTCATTACAAAGACTAATATTCAGACATATATATTAATGAAACTATATGAAGACATCATTGTTGACCTAATTTGAGATGCAGAGAGGTATTTTTTAATAAATAAAATGAAAATAGTGGTCTTTGGATCTAAATCTCCTAAAATGACTTGATGAAGAATCTGAGCTATGACATAAAACTCCTGTGTCTTACTGTGAGACCAGTCAGTATCAGAACTTCATTGTATCCAACCACTCAGTGAGTGTTCTGAAGGATCGTCTGGGTTACTGAGTGCTGAAAAGAGGAAAACAGAGGAAAATGTAATAATATAAGGAAGACAACTGGAAGCATTAGCATCACGATCTATACCCCCAAATCAAGCACCTGATAATCAATTTTGTTCACTTTGAAAATGGCAGTTGCAGCAAAACCTGGGGAAATATCTGGATCCCAAAGCACTGAATTGACCCAGCCTTCAAACAAGTACAGTGTTGCAAGAGCAAACAAGTAAAAATGTCTAAGATCACTTGCATCCAACAAGTCTGTCCATGCATTCAAGCATAATCTGGGTTATAGAAGATTTGGAAATCACTCATTGGAGAAAAAATGTTGAAATGGAGAATTAAAAAAATATAGGAATGATGTATTGATAATTGAAAGCATTAATAGCAAGATCTGTTCTGCATCAAATCTGATAGACATTTACTGTTCACTTTCAAAGGAACCACGACACCATCAGTTGTGGGGACATCTGGAGCCCCAATCAGTGAACAGACTCAGTCTGCAGACAATTTAAGTGAGTACAGGCTGATGGGGGAGGGGGGACTGTCAGGCTATTCACAAGAGAGATCACCCTCCTTCCTGTCATATTTACTTAAAATTGAAGGAGCTGACAAAGCTTTTGATGGATGTAATGTGAGCCAGACACAAAGGGATAAGTGTGCAATCTTTAGAAGCTTGCTCTTCTCTCATCGCGACAAACTAAAGCTTCTGATAATGTGAGAGAAGGTTGAAAAGGTGGCAATGATGAAGCAGAAAGTAACAGGGTTCATTACTTCTCATGACATGACACTGAGATGTGGCTCCAACTTTCAGGTAGAACACACAGAGGTTGGGAAAAAGGCAGAGAAACGAGTCAACCGTTAAATCTTTGATGCACTTCCAGATTTTCCAGTCTCTGAAGAAATAGCTTGACACCAAGTATTATCCTAGCCAAGAGAGAAAGGCTCTGGTGTATCAGAAAGTATTCCTTGAACACACTTTGGAAATTTGTCAAATTACTGTTTTGCCACAGATCATTGAGAAGCAAGGGATAGGATAGACTCTGCGGTTGGAGGGGTTGAGATCAGGTTCTGGGTCTGCTGTAAGCTAAAAGGAAACTTAAACAAGGCAAGCAAAAGTATCCAACAACTAAACAGGATAAAGATTCCCTGCAAATGCTTGAAATATATTTATTACAAACATTCAACAGCCTTAAAAGAAATGCAAATAAAAACAAGCTTGAGATTTTGTCTAACCCTGTTCAGAATGACTAAGATATTAAAATGAGAAAAAAAAATACTGTCAGGGATATGTGGAAGGATGAACATGTGTTTACTGCTGAGATAGCAAACTGGTGTAGGCACTTTGAAAATCAGTGTGGAGGCTCCTCAAAAATCCCACGATCCAGTTTTACACTTGGAAATTTTCCCAAAGGACTCAGATCCTACTACAGAGCTACTTTCGCATCCAGGTTCCTTATTCCTGTATTTATATTAGCCAGGGAATGGAAACAGCCTAAATTTCCATCGAAAGATGAATTGATAGTGAAAATGTGGTATATTAGACAGTGGAATATTTTTCTTATGGCTCTCTTCTTAACCACACAATATCAGGCACACCCAAGGGATCATCTGGAACAACCACTGGTACAGCAGGTGGCAGCACTCTTCCGGTGGCAAGTACAGCAATCACAGGTTCTGGTAAGAGATGATAGACTGGACATGTCACTCCCATATGTCCCTGATGCAAGAGGCACTTGCCTTTAGTCATTCTCAAGAGAGAGTTGAATAAAGGGCTTGGGAGGGGTGTGCAGATGTGTCATTTTGATTCTTAGTCTAAAAATCCATCCACATACACCTAAGAATGTCAAGGATAACATGAATATTTGCTCATCCACATTTGCTGGTTCTAGAAAGAACAGCAGTGTCCTCTGGCCACACTACCACCCCTGGAGTCTCCTCAAGCCTGGCCTCAACCTCTGCCAACAGCAAATCAGGTGAGTGAGAGAGAATACTGTGAGTCTAAAGAAATCAAACAAAGGGCTGCAAATGTTTTCACTCATATCCATGGACTATAGGTAAGACATGTCTATTTTAGGAATAGGAAGCTGAGTTCCTGCTCTATACTTCAGTCAGTAGCAGAAGGAGAACTGCATTAGATGATGTTTCTGTCACCTTATGTCATCACTAATGTTCACGTGTGTGCTTAAAGGTCATAATGATTTCGAGACTCTTGCCCTGAGATTAGAGACTCTGAGTCTGGGAGCTGTGTCTTTCTCTGCCAGCTACAACTTAGCACTGAATGAGGATGCTTAAAAGAAATCCCATACTAGCTCAGAATTGAGAAATAGATGGTTATTTATTTAGGGGTAGACTCACAAATCAGAATCCTCTGCTTGAACGAGGATCAGGAACCGAAATCTGCAACCAGAACAGAGAGGCCGGAAAAGAGGCTGGACACATACTATATAAGCTCTCCATCGGCTTATATAGTATGAGAGGCCACGCCCCAGTAGGCAGGTAATCTCTAGCTGTAAGACATCCTACAGCATGACACCAAGGAGAAAAGTTCAGAATTCTGACTCTCACAGTCCCATTAATTGTGGAGCACTGGAAAAAAGAGCCTATGTTGGAGTATATCTGAACCCCAGTGATTTCCAACAAACAGCTTGTCACTGAGATCAAACAAGTAAATTAGTAGATTATATGAAAGTTTAAAAAATGTCTAGCAAAGAAATTGATGACTCATTTGAAATGTTATGTTCATAATTTGGGATGTCTGAAGCAGAAGTAGGAAGTATGCATAAATGAATAAGATGTTCGGGAGCAGAGAGCATCTTGGCCTGCCACTTTCTCACAACCATCACATGGTGTGTTTTAAAAGGAACAACTGGACCATCTATTGGAACAACTAGGTCCCCAAGCAGTGAGCTGACCTCGACTGAAGTCAGTGCAGGTGAGTTGGGCTGTCCTGGAGAGGCTGGTTGGTTCACACTTATTCATTTTAAAGAACTGCACTTGAGACAGATGTATATTAAAAAGTGTGTGGAGACGTCATTGTCAACCCAGTTCAAGTTGTAAAAGAGATATTTCAAAGAAATAAAATGAAACTCGGTGTCTGAGGAGATGCATCTCATAAAATCCCTGCTGTAGGCTCTGAAGAGGGTGCTGATCTGTGACACACAGCTCCGGTGCCCTACTCTGAATCAAATGAGTATATGCAAGTTCTCTTCTATTCAAAAAACCAACTGATGCTCCGAAGGGTAGTCTGGATAATGGCAGATTTCATTAATACTGACTGAAGGGGGAAGTAGAGGACAGATAAAGCAGCAAAATCAGGAAGGGAGCTGATAGCATGAGCAGCCTGATCTATACTCCTGCATCCAACATCCTGGTTGTCAACTGTTGTTCACTTTGAAAGAGACTACTGCACCGTCAACTGGGGAAACATCTGGAACCCAAGCAATGCACTGACTCCGCCTTCAAATGAGTACAGGTGTATGTGAGGAAGGCATGTGTTTTGACAAGGAGGTTTCCCTTCTCGTTACCTTGCTCATTTAGTCAAAGTACAACATGTAGATGGACAAGAGAGGACTAAATGAAAGGCAGGACCATGGCATTTTATAGAGATTCTCGTCTTCCTGGCGACAAACCAAGGCTTTTGATAACATGGTACTAGGTGGAAAGGGTAGATAGACATGATGGAACAGAAAACCGCTGGACTCTGTTCTCATCATGTGACACTGGGTTGTGGGGGTGATCCACCCCTCCGGTAGGACATACAGACTTGAGAGAGGAGGCAGAGTCATGGATTAAATGCTCTATCTCAGGAGCATTTCCAGAGTTATAGGGCTCTATAGGAATGCTTTACCACTAAAGGGGAGACAACGGTTGGGGTATTTGTGTAACACACTTAGGAAATTTGTCAGATTGCTGTTTTACCACAGATCATCGAGAAGCAAATGAGAGGTTAGACTCTGGGGTTGGAGAGGTTGAGGTTGGATCCAGAGTCTCCTATGAGCTAACAGGGAGAATTAATGGAGTCAAGGGAACATCAAACTGGACTGGATAAAGTTTCCAAGGCCAGAGGTTTTCTGATGGGTAGTTAGTTTTGTTATTTTTAAGAAAAAAAGTAAAAATACTTTTTTTGTGTGTCCCAGGAACTGTAATGTCTACAGAACCCACAAGCGACAGGGGAGGCCGCACATCCAGGGAACCCAGCAGCAGCGCTACAAGCCAAGGAAACTCAGGTGAGTGAGAGCAGGAACTTTCTTAGTAGCAAGTCAGTGGGTAGAGATGAGATGAGTGGGCTGCTGAGGGAAAGTATGAATTTGTTCAGCATGTTGGTATAGAATTGAACCTATCCATGTCTCCTTTTTGAGGACTAGTAAATATTTCCAGCATGGCATCTTGCTTTGCAGGAACAACAGGAGAGTCCGTGGGAGTTGCTACAAAAGCAGCCAGGGAGGCCTCCCCTGTAACCCAAGGCTCAGAAGTCCCCACTGGAAGCACAGCAGGCAAGATAAGAACTCAGTGGTTGTCTGTGTCAGGGGCTCATGCTAGGGTTGTCCAGAACTGCTTGTCATCATTAGTTCAAGGAAAGGTGATGAAAGACCATGGTATAAGACTTAATGACATAAGGTTAATCCGGAAATGCTTTGGGAGGCTTCTGAGGCCATTGTTACCTGTGACCATAAATGATATTCCTATTCCCATATAAACAAGACAAGAACACATGGAGCGAGTACAATGCATTGGTTGCCACCTACATATACACTGGACTATCCTTCTATGTTATAAATATCCTCAGAGATATGCCCAGAAACGTGTTCTGAATGGTAACAAGTCTCACACTAAGTTTCCAGAAGATTGGCTATATATTGTCAAGCATTTAATTTGTGTCCAGTATCATTTCAAGCATAAAATTTTTGGTAAATAATAGGAGGACTCCATGATCACATGCATCTTCATACTTTCTTAAAAGCACTGACAGCCATGACACATATGTGTGGAAACATTTGGTGGAGCAGGCAGGTGGGAAAGATGCTCACAGTGTCTTAGGTCAGCTCTAAAATCACAGAGAGTGCTGCATGAGGAATTGACTTCCTTCTGTGATTAGTGAACTTTCTAATTAATGAATATTTAATCAAATGAGGTCATTGTCAAATGATCTGATTTTGTTGAGAAAGGTGGTGTAGAAATTTGTAAGAGTAGATACTTCAATTTCATAAGAGGAAAAACAGACAATTTCAATTCTTATTCTTTAGGAAATTCCCCCTTTCAATATCCCTGTTCTTCTTGTTTAACCACAATAAAAAACAGGCACAGCCAGTGCATCCTTTGGAGCCACATCAGGAAGGGCAGTGAGCAGCACCTCTCTGCCTGCAAGTACTGGAGCCCCAGGTTCAGGTGAGGCCCTTTAGTCTTGGAGAGGTCTCAGCAGCTCATCCATTCCCATGCTCCCTCAGGTGACAATCTGAAAATTTGACATAATGTGGGAGTAAAATTGATGGCACTGGATGTAGTAGAAGTATGTCTTCTCATGTCTTATCCTGCAAGTCTATCCATTTTACTAAGGATGTTTGGAATCATATGAACCTCCAAGATCCATGTTTTCTTGTTATAGGGAGCACAGTGACATCCCCAGGACAAACTACCTTCCCTCAGGCCTCCAGTCTATCCCCAGCCTCTGCCAGCAACAAACAAGGTAAATCAAAGAGAGTTCTCAGGTGTCAAATGGAGGGCAAAGTCTATCCCCATATTTATTTAATTGGGAATGTAGGAATGACAAGTAGAATGCTTTCAGTCACCTTATGCCAAATGGGGACTATACCTCTAGGCATTTATTTATACTGGAATGTAAGAACGGCATGTATATTAAAAGTCTATGAATGGCTGCCTAGGTGCAATTGGGTCCTAGGCCTGTTGTAAGCTCAAGTGGTGGCTTAAAAGTCAGGGGAACATATCCTACAACTCGGCTGGATAGTATTTCTGGGGCATTTTTTTGTGTGTGAGATATTGTTATTTCTAAGGCAAATACATTTTTTTTCTGGTTCTGTTCTTTGCTTCACAGAAACAACAGGAGCAGACAAGGAGGCCACACCTACAGTCTCAGGCACAGGCATCACCACTGGAAGCCCAGCAGGCAAGACAAGGACTCCATGGGGACTGTGGAGGGGACTAATGCTAGTTTTGTCCAGAAATGTTTGTAGTCATGAGATCAACGAAAGCTGACCAAGCACCACACTGTAGAACTTAATGGCAGAACTGTAACTTTGAAATGCCTTGAGAGACTGTGGGTATAATTTTGACATTAAGAGTCGTTCTTATGCCCTTAGGAACAAGTGGAAGTTCACATGCAGCCAGCACTGGAGCTCCTGGTGAAAACACATCTGCAATGACAGGTACTGAGTGTGCTCGGCAGGGGGCACCCAGGCAACAGATAAGAGAACTTTGCATGCAGCATGTAAGGCAATAAACATCCAAAGGGCAGTTGACCATTGTCATAGATGTCATGTACTACAGTTACTTTTCTTTCTGAGAACCAAATCATGACCCAAGCCAATCATCTTAGAAGGATTTTATTTTGCTCACAATTTGAGGTATTTTTTTTTTTTTGTTTTTGTTTTTCGAGACAGGGTTTCTCTGTGGCTTTGGAGCCTGTCCTGGAACTTGCTCTGTAGACCAGGCTGGTCTCGAACTCACAGAGATCCGCCTGCCTCTGCCTCCCAAGTGCTGGGATTAAAGGCGTGCGCCACCACCGCCCGGCTTGAGGTAATTTTTATATTATAGGGAAACCATAGAATTGAGAGTGGACCAGATGAAAATGTAGGGTCATGAGGAAGCTGTCCACACTGTGTCCACAATGAGGAAGGAGAGTGATGAAGACTGGTCCTCTCATGCTTCCTCCCTTTCCCTCTCACATCCAGTCTAGGAGTGCAACCCCTCTGTCATCACGTTCTTATATGTTGACCTTTCTGTCTGTGTTAATATCCTCAGCAGATATGCCTACAATTGTTTTTCAAATGATAAACAATTCCACCCCAAGTTTCTAGAACATTAGATGTATGCTGTCATGTATTTATTTTGTTTCTAGCATCATTTCAAACACACATTATTTACTAAATAATAGGGGAACTCTGATCTCATGCATCTTCACAATTTTAAAAGAAATATTGACAGTCATGAGGCATATGAGCCAAAATGTTTGGTGGAGAGCAATTCAGGGAGTAAGGAGTCTTATAGTGTCTTAAGTCAGTTCTAAAATGGCCAACATTTCTCCATGAGAAATTTGACTTATATCTATAATTATTTTGTTTGCTAATTAATGAACATGTATTTCAATCAGTAGGGCATGCAATTAATGGATTTTCATGGAGAAAGTCCTTTTCATTGAACTTTATGAGGAGACACTTTCATTTAGTTAGAGGAACAGAAAGAATATTTTAATTCTTATTTTTAAAACTAAACTTCTGTTTTAATTTTTATACTCTTCTTTCTTACCTATGATGACAATCAGGCACACTCAGTATATCTTCTGGAACTACTTCAGGAGGGGCAGGGAGCAGCACCCCTCTACCTGCAAGTACTGGAGCCCCAGCTACAGGTAAGACTACTTTCTTTTTGTGAAGCCTCAGTATCTCATCCATTCCCATGATGCCTCAAGTGATGGTTTGGGAATATGACCTGTATGCGCGAGTAAAATTCAGGGTAAAGAAAGTGTTGCAAGAATGTAACTTCTCATGTTGTATTCTGTGAGTCCATTCATCTAAGTAAAAATATCTAGAATCATTTCAGTTTCCAACATGCATGTTTCCTGTCCTAGGGAATACAGTGACAACCTCTGGCCACACAACCATTCTTCAAGCCTCCAGTCTATCCTCAGCTTCTGCCAGTAGTAGACAAGGTACATAAAATGGAAGAAGCTATGAGGTCTCAAGTGTCAAAAGGAGGACTGAGTCTATCTCCATTTATTTATATTTTGGAATGTAGGAATGACATGTATATTTAAATACTATGAGTCCCCAGACACCCAATGTAGGGCTGAGTCTATCTCCATTTATTTATGTGGGAATGTAAGATGACACATATATTATAAGGTGATGAGCTCTTAGGTGACAGATGAGGGACTGGTTATAGCTCCAGTAATTCATGAGGTAATTTAGGAATTCCTTGTATATTTAAAGAAAGAAAGCTCACATCAGAAAGAAGACTGTATTAGCTAATGTTTCTCTTATACTGTCCTATAATTAGGTTGCTAATATGCACTTCAGGCAATGCTGGCCCTGATTCCTTCCTTATAAAGAGAGTGAGTCATGAGGGCTAAGGCTTTCCATCATGACTCTAATTGATTACCAAGTAGGATAGTTCTAATTGGGCTCTTTATCATGGTTACTAAACATGTTTCCTTATGTGGAAGACCCTATCAGAAATATATTTAAGTCCTATTTGTTTGAATAAGCATCTGAGTATGGAGTAAAACAGATGAATATGAAGAAGGTAGACAATCTTTCCATGCAAAATCAAATAAGCCCAGCAAGGATTCCCCCATAGCATATGAAATTTGCAAAGACTGCAACAAATATAGAAAAATATGTAACTAAATGAAGACATCAGAGATCAATGTGGTCTACTGCAGAGTCCTAGTCATGACATTGTGTTTCTTTTAAAGGAACGACTGGATCACCAGCTGGAACAACTGGATCCCCAAGCAGTGAGCTGACTTCACCTGAAGTCAGTGCAGGTCAGTTGAGGCTGTGTCTGAAGAAGCTGAGGCTGTGTCTGAAGAAGCTGAGGCTGTGTCTGAACAGGAGTGTGATCCCTGCTTCATTACAAAGATTAACATTCAGATATATGTATTAATGAAACTATATGGAGACCTCATTGTTGACCTAACATGAGATGCAGAGAGATATTTTTAATAAATAAAATGAAAATAGTGGCCTTGGGATATAAATCTCCAAAAATCCCTGAAATAGACTCTGATGAGGATGCTGAGATATGACATAAACCTCCTGTGCCTTACTGTGAGAAAAGCCAGTATCAGTACTTCATTGGTATCCAATAACTCAGTGAGTGTTCTGAAGGATAACTTTGGTGTCTGAGTGTTGAAATGAGGATAACAGAAAAGAATGCAGGAAAATAAGGAAGACAACTGGAAGCATTAACAAGCGGATCTATACTCCTGTATCAAGAATCTGATATTCAATTTTTGTTTACTTTGAAAATGGCGGTTGCAGCAACAGCTGGGGAAATATCTGGATCCCCACGCAGTGGATTGTCCCTGCCTTCTAACAAGTACAGGCTGATGGGAGGAAGTAATGATTTGGCAAGAAGGATTAATTTCTTATTACCCTGATTGTTGTAAAGGAAATGAAATCTAGATGATCATATGTTAACCACGCCAGAAAAAAATGGCAATGTCATTTCATGAAGCTTTCTCATCCTCTGAGGCAGTAGCCAATTCTTTTGAGAAAACGTCAGTAGATTTTGAGGGTAAACAAGATTGTACATATAGTCATTCGACTCAGTACTTCTCATGATATGACACCGGGATGATGCTTTACTTTCCAATAGAAAGGACAGACAGACATCAGAGAGGAGACAGAGTAAAGTTCCACCCCAGGTGCATTTCCAGAGTTGTCATTCTCTATAGGAATGTCGTGACTCTGAGTTTTGTTTTAGGGGACAGAGAAAGATCTTGTGTTTCTGAAAGTATTTATCAAACACACTTTGGAGAATTCCCAATTACTCTTTTCCCAGAGATCATTGAGAGGAAATGAATGGTTAGCTTCTGGGATTACAGAGGTGGAAGTTGGGTCCTAGGTCTGCTGTACGCTGAAGGGATGACTGAGAAAGACATGAGAGCTTAACCAACAACTGGAATGGATAGTAATTTTCTGGCAAGATTTTCGGTGAAATGTTGTTATTTCTAAGACAAATACCCTTTTTTTTTTTCGATCTGTTCTTTGCTTTACAGAAACAACAGGAACAGGCAACGAGGCCATACCTACAGTCTCAGGCACAAGCATCAGAACAGCAGGCAAGACAAGGACTTCATGTGGACTGTGGAGGGCACTAATGCTAGTATTGTCCAGAACTGTTTGTGGTCATGAGTTCAAGGAAAGCTGACCAAGCACCACACTGTAGAACTTAATGGCAGAAATGTAACTTTGAAATGCCTTGAGAGACTGTGGGTATAATTATCTTTGACATTAAGAGTCGTTCTTATGCCCTTAGGAACAAGTGGAAGTTCACTTGCAGCCAGCACTGGAGCTCCTGGTGAAAACACATCTGCAATGACAGGTACTGAGTGTGCTCGGCAGGGGGCACCCAGGCAACAGATAAGAGAACATTGCATGCAACATGTAAGGCAGTGAAGATCCATGGGGAGTTCAGTTACTATTCTTTCTGAGAACCAAATCATGACCTAAGATAATCATCTTAGAAGGATTTTATTTTGCTCACAATTTGAGGTAATTTTTATATGACAGGGAAACCATAGACATGAGAATGGTCCAGATGAAAATGTAGGGTCATGAGGAAGCTGTCCACACTGTGTCCACACTGAGGAAGGAGAGTGATGAAGACTGGTCCTCTCATGCTTCCTCCCTCTCCCTCTAACATTCACTCTAGGAGTGCAACTCATCCATCATCATGTTCCTATGCATTGACCTTTCCCTCTATGTTAATATCCTCAGCAGATATGCCCAGAATTATGTTCCAAATGATAAATAGTCTCACAACAAGTATCCAAAAAGTTGCATTGTGTAGTCAACTATTTGTTTTGGGTCTAGTATTATGATAAGCACTCCACTGTTGCTAAAATTAGGGAGATACCATGTTTTCATGCATCTTCATGATTTTGGATGAAATTAGCAGTCCAGTGATGTGGGAGCTTAAGGGTAAGGTGGACAATATTCTGGTGGCTAAAGGTTCTCACAGGGTCTTAAGTCAGTTCTAAAATAATGAACATTCCTCTATGAGGAATTTTATTACCTCCATAATAATTGTGTTTTCTCATTAATGAATATTTATCCCAATCAGTAGGTTGTCCAATTACTGGATTTTGCTTGAGAAATAAATGTCATTGAACCTCATAAGCACAGACACTTTCATTTGTTTAGACAAAAAAGTCCATTTCAACTATTACTTGGAGGAAAAATTCCCATTCAATCGTCTCAGTATGCTTTTATTCCATGGTTAAAAAAATAGGCACACCTGGGAAATCTTCTGGAGCCACCTCAGGAGAAGCAGGGAGCAGCACCCCTCTACCTGCAAGTACTGGAGCCCCAACTACAGGTAAGACTACTTTCTTTTGGTGAAGCCTCAGCACCTCATCCATTCCCAGGCTGCCTCAGGTGACGGTCTGGAAATATGACCTATATGTGTGAGTAAAATTCACAGAAAGTGTTACAAGAATGTGACTTCTCATGTTGTATCCTGTGAATCCATTCATCTAAGTAAAAATATCTAGAATCATATCAGTCTCCAACATGCATGTTTTCTATCCTAGGGAATACAGTGACAACCTCTGGCCATACAAGCATTCTTCAAGCCTCCACTCTATCCTCAGCTACTACCAGCAGTAAACCAGGTAAATAAAATGGAAGAGGCTGTGAGGTCTGAGGTTTTCCCAATTACCCTTTTGCCAGAGATCATTGAGAGTTAATGACTCATTATATTCTGGAGTTGCAGAGGTGGAAGTTAGGTCCTAGGCCTGTTGTAAGCTGAAGGGGTGGCTTCAAAACTAATGGGAACATATCCAACAACTGAGCTAGATAGTATTTCCCTGGCAAGATTTTTTTTTGTGAAATGTTGTTATTTCCAGCATGTGTTCTTTGCTTTACAGAAACAACAGGAGCAGGCAAGGAGACCACACCTACAGTCTCAGGCACAGGCGTCACCACTGGAAGCCCAGCAGGCAAGACACGGACTCCAAGGGGACTTTGGTGGGCCCTAATGCTAGTATTATCCAGAACTGTTTGTGGTCATGAGTTCAAAGAAAGCTGACCAAGCACCCACACTGTAGAACTTAATGGCAGAAATGTAACTTTGAAATGCCTTGAGAGACTGTGGGTATAATTGTCTTTGACATTAAGGGTCGTTCTTATGCCCTTAGGAACAAGTGGAAGTTCACCTGCAGCCAGCACTGGAGCTCCTGGTGAAAACACATCTGCAATGACAGGTACTGAGTGAAGTCAGCAGAGGGCACCCAGGCAACAGATAAGAGAACATTGCATGCAGCATGTAAGGCAGTGTAGATCCATGGGAGAACTAACCGTTGTCACAGATGCCATGTACTACAGTTACTTTTCTTTCTGAGAACCAGATCATGACCAAAGCCAATCATATTAGATGGGTTTATTTTGCTCACAATATGAGGTACTTTCCTCATGACAGGGAAACCATAGACGTGAGAGTGGTCCAGATGGAATTGTAGGGTCATGAGGAAGCTGTCCACACTGTGTCCACACTGAGGAGGGAGAGTGAAGAAGACTGGTCCTCTCATGCTTCCTCTCTTTCCCTCTCACATTCAGTCTGGGAGTGCAACTCCTCCGTCATCACGTTCCTATTCATTGACCTTTCCCTCTATGTTAATATCCTCAGCAGATATGCCCTGAATTATGTTCCAAATGATAAATAGTCACACAACAAGTATCCAAAAAGTTGCATGTGTATAGTCAAGTATTCATTTTGGGTCTTGTATTGTGACAAATACTCCACAGTTGCTACAAATAGGGAGAGGCCATGTTCTCATGCATCTTCATGCTTTTGGATGAAATTAGCACTCCAGTGATTTGAGAGACTAAAGGCAAGGTGGACAATATTAAGGTGGCTCAAGATTTGAACAGGGTCTTAAATCAGTTCTAAAATAATGAATATTTCTTCCATGTGGAATTCCAAATTACTTTATTTTGTTTTCAGGATGATCCCAAATAACTTTATAATTATTGTTTTCTAATTAATTAATATTTAATCCAATGGGTAGTTTGTAATATTAATGGATTTTGTTTCAAAGAAATATCATTGAACATCATAAATATAGACATTTTCATTTGATTATACAAAAAGAAAGATCATTTCAAATCTTATTCTTAATAAAACTCCCCTTCAATCTACTCACCACTCTTTTTTCCCTGTGGTGAAAAATAGGCACACCTGTGAAATCTTCTGGAGCCACTTCAGGAGGGGCAGGGAGCAGCACCCCTCTACCTGCAAGTACTGGAGCCCCAGGTTCAGGTAAGTCTCTAACCTTTGCAGATAGCTCAGCAGCTCATCTGTCCATGATCACTCAGGTGATGATCTGGAAATTTGACTTATGTGTGTGAGTAAAATTCATGACACTGGATGTAGTAGAAGTATGACTTCTCATGTCTTATCTTGCAAGTCCATTCATATTAATAAGGATGTCTGGAATGATACAAACCTCCAACTTTCATGTTTTCTTATTATAGGGAGCACAGTGACATCCCCAGGACACACTACCTTCAGTCAAGCCTCCAGTCTATCCCCGGCCTCTGCCAGCAGCAAACAAGGTGAGTAAATTAGAGTTCCAAGGTGTCAAATGGAGGGCAGAGTCTATCCCCATTTATTTATATGGGAATGTAGGAATAACAAGTGTATTAAAAGGCTGTAAGTTGTCACATGTCAAATGGGGGCTAAGTCTCTGAGCATTTATTTAAATTGGAATGTAAGAATGTCATGTATATTACAAGTTTATAAGTCTTCTGGTGTCATAGGAGTGGCTTGTGGTATCTCTATTTATTCAAAAGTGAATGCAGGACTTTCCTGCATATTTAGAGAAAGCAAGCTAGCATTAGAGAGGATTGCATTAGTTAATTTTTCTCTTATCTTATCCCTTAGTTAGGTTGCTAATGTGCACTGTGGGGCAATGATGGCCCAAATTCCTTCCTTGAAGCTTAAGGACACTGAGTCATGGAGGTTAAAGCTTCCTATCCTGACTCTAAATTAGTATCAAGTAGAAAAATTCTGAATTTTTTTATCATGGTTATCAACTCTGTTTTCTTACATGAAGTTACCAGGCAGAAATACATCTGAAAGACCCAGTTGGTTTCAATAAGCATCTGAGTACTGGAATGAAATAGATGCTTATGGAGGAAGACAATCATATTTCCATGCAGAATCAAATTAAGCCTAGCAAATATTCAATATTCCTTCATATCATATGAATTCTACAAAGATTGAAGCAGCAATATGAACTATATACAAACGAAGACATTAGCCATCATAGAGCAGTGTGGTCTACTGCTGTTTCATAGTCACAATGCATTGTTTTGGTAGTAACAACTGGATCATCAACTGGAACAACAAGACTTCCAAGCAGTGAGCTGACCTCATCTGAAGTCAATACAGGTGAGTTTAGGCTGTGTTCTGGCGAGTTTGGGGCTGTGGCAAAAATGGAGAGTGGTTTGTGCTGCCTTCTTCATTTTAAAAAAACTAAGCCAGGAGGTGCTGGTTCATAGCTTTAATCTTAGAACTTTGGAGATTGAGGAAGGCAGATCTCTGTGAGTTCAAGTCCAGCATGGTCTACAGAGCTAGTGCCAGGATAGATAGGGTTGTTAAACAGAGAAACCCTGTCTCGAAGAAAAATATGTAAAAAGTAATGAACTGTAGTTGAGATAGATTTATTATTAAAAGTATATGGAGACTTTGTTGTTGACCCAATTGAAGACTCAGAGAGAGATTTTAAAGAAATAAAATGAAAACAGGCATCTCAAGAGATGCATCTCATTAAAGCTCTTCTGTGGTCTCTGGAGAGGATGCTGAGCTCTGACATACAACTTCCACGTCTTACTGTGAGACAAGTCAGTATTACTATTTCTGTCATATTCAACAAGTCATTGAGAGCTATGGAGGATCGTCTGGATCAGGAAGATTTGATGACTTCTTGTTGAAAAGAGGAAAACAAGGAGTAGACAGGAATACAAGAATAATGATAGAAAGCATTGCCATTTTGATGATATATCTACGGCCATATCAAGCATCCTGATAGTTAATTATTGTTCACTTTGAAAGCGACTGTTCCTCCAAGAGGTGGGAAATACCTAAAGCCTGAAGCCAAGCCACGAATTGACCCAGCCATCAAACAAGTACAGGCTGATGGGAGGAAGTAACAATTTGAAAAGAAGGGTTAATTTCTTATTACCCTGTTTGTTTGAAAGGAAAGTACCAAATCTAGATAAACAATGAGAACCAAAAGAGAAAGAACAGCATTGTCATGTTAAGAAGCTTTCCCCTCCCTGAGGCAGTAAGCCAAGGCTTTTGATAGCATGACACTAGGTTCAAAAAGTAGACATGATTGTACATATAATCACTGACTCAGTACTTATCATGATACGACACAGGGATGTTGTTTCACCTTCCAAGTAGAAGGACAGACAGAAATCAGAGAGCAGATAGAGTAAAGCTCCACCCAGTAGCATTTCTGGATTTATCATTCTCCACAGGAATGTCTTGATTCTGAGTTTTGTCTTAGGGGACAGAGAAAAGTCAGGTGTTTCAGAAAGTATTTATCAAACACACTTCGGAAATTTTCCAAATTACCCTTTTGCCAGAGATCATTGAAAGCAAATGAATGGATAGACTCTTGGCTTTCAGAGGTGAAAGTTGGGTCATAGGAATGCTGTAAGCTTAAGGGGAGACTGAAAAAGTCATGGGAGCTTAGTCAACAACTGGACAGGGTAGTATTTTTCTGGAAAAATGTTAGACATGTATAGTCAATAATTTGTTATTTGGTGTAGTATTATTTTAGACACTCCACAGTAAAAATAAGGGAATACCATGTTCTCATGCATCTTCGTGCTTTTGAATGAAATTAGAAGGCTATTGATGTGGAAGCCTAAAGGTAACTTGGATAAAGGTTCTCACAGGGTCTTAAGTCAGTTCTAAAACAACAAACATTCCTCCATGAGGAATTTCACTTACCTCCATAATAATTGTGTTTTCCAGCTAACGAATATTTATACCAATCTATAGTTTTTTTAAATTAATTGATTTTGCTTCAGAAATAAATGCCATTGAGCATCATAACCATAGATACTTTCATTTGTATGGACAAAAACCATTTCAACTTTTACTCATAAGAAAAACTCCTTTCAATCTTCTCATTCTTCTTTATTTCCATGGTGAAATATAGGCACACCTGGGAAATCTTCCGGAATCACCTCAGGAGAAGCCGGGAGCAGCACCCCTCTACCTGCAAGTACTGGAGCCCCAACTACAGGTAAGTCTTCTTTTTTTTGGTGAAGCTTCAGCAGCTCTCCGATTCCCACGCTGCCTTGGGTGAAGGTCTAAAAATATGGCCTGTAGGTGCGATTAAGACTCAAGGCACAGAAAGTCTTCTTGTCTTCTCAAGTTTTATCATTCAAGTCCATTCCTATACCTAACAATATCTGGAATCATATAAGTCTCCTACATCCAAATTATTTGGTTTTCTTTGAAAAGCAGTATGGTGTCAAATAAACTGCTTTCCCAAGAGAAAGAAGTAGTCATTTAATGTTTAAAAGTGGATACTTTCATTTCATAAGATGAAAATAGACTACTTTAATTTTTATTCTTAAAAAAGTCTCCCTTTCAATTATCTTGTTATTTTTTTAACCACAATAAAAACCAGGCACACTTAGTGCATCTTCTGGAGCCACCTTAGGGGGCGCAGGGAGCAGCACCGCTCTTCCTACAAGTACTGGAGCCCCAAGTTCAGGTGAGATCCTTTACCTTTGAGGTTTCTCAATAGCTCATCCATTCTCATACTTCCTCAGGTGATGATGTGGAAATTTTATTTGTATTTGTGAGTAAAATTCATGACCCTGGATGTGGTACAAGCATGTGTCTTCTCATGTCTTATTCTGCAAGCCCATTCACATTAATAAGGATGTCTGGAATCATATGATCTCCAGCATCCGTATTTTCCCGTTATAGGGAGCACAGTGACATCCCCAG